AACCCGGAAGACAGCCATCTTCGTATCGTTTTCCCTTATCACATTTTAAGCGTGTTGAAAGAAACTGTAATCGCGAAAAATCTTGCCTCATTGTTTTATGTGGGGAATAATCAACCCCTGAACCCATAAAAATAGGTTCGTAAGAACTATGTATCTTTCCGCGAATTGCCGTCGTCTTGAAATCATTGGAGGCAAGAATATTAAAAGGATAACAAAATGTAGAAAGTGTCAAAAATAGTTCCTTTCATATCGTGAATTCATGAGATTGATTTCAATATTTGAAGACCACTATAAATAACATTAAAATATTCAGAACATATGAGTTTGCATATTCTGTATATACTCTGTAATTGTAACATCTGTCTCAAACCTAACAAAAGCGCATATGTCCAAACCTACAGAACTTTACGACACTTAAAAATATGGCGGTAGTATTGCGTGTACCACAGACGATTACCCGACAACCACTCCATTACTGGCAATGGAGAATTAAAGAAAAATTCTTTCAAGTGCATACATTAAAGTCAGTCAACAAATTCAGAAGATTTAGTGAGTAATGAAACATTGACATGCGTAGTACAACAATAAACCCCACTTTCAGGCCATGCTCTTACTAATACGCGCGAGTGGTAATATTCTTGTTCAGCACGAATGGTTGAACACTGAAAGTGCACGATGCCAACTATTGGAGTCAATTAATTTTAATTGGTTCGATCATTGGTATATGTGAAGCTGACTACAAGCTTGGTACATGCATAACAATGCAATAAAAAGGATTCGAATTTCTAACACACGCCTGCAACTATATTGGCTGAGCGTGCTGTAAGGCTCTTTTCTCATTTATTATGCATGCTGTATAATTGCGTGAATAAACCGTATTGCAATCCACTCCTTTACCTAAGAAACAAATTGTTATGTCGTCTGTTTATTCGGCATTGTTGTGTTTCATTAATGCCGTCTACAATCCGCTTTCGAATATTGTGCTGTTAAAAACGTTTTAGAATATCACAACTACTTATCTTATATAAGAATTATTAAGAAATCTATGATACTGCCCTCCATTTTACTTTTGATTAAATTGGTCATTGCCGGTGGACATCGTGGTGTCTTACAATTGAACAAAGTTTGAGGTAAGGGATTCCTATTTATTATTATTGTTCATCACATTTAATGTTTTCATCTGCATTTTTGAACTCGTTAAGAGAATTAGGCTTGTCTTTTGACAACTGCTGTAACGCGCGCGCGCGGTGGCGCGAATTTTAAATGTACATTAGAATTTTGAGCAATTTTTTCGCACCCTTGCACAGCGTATCAGCGGCTGAAATTTTGTGGACAATCAATACTAGATGGGCTCTGTAGACGAGGAAAATTTCAGGTGAGGTTTCGACATGACCAACCGGACCATTCACTTGTTGGTGTGTAGATGTTGCGTTCGAACACCGGAGCCCTTAATACAGTGCTCCTTCCGGTAGAATGTGTCAGCGTTTGAACTCTGCACGTCATTCAGTACATCTGTAGAAGATTTTTCGTTAATTTTAGATGTAGCAGCTCGACATCTGTGGATTGTTAATAGAAGTGTGTTACCACCAACGCCATATACCGTATCAGTTTTCCACGAATGATAATTATCATAAATTATAAGTAACACTCTTTGATTTAAGCCTTTAAACCTGGCTTTGAAATGGTAAAAGGGCCTAACCGCAATCAGTTTCACGTATTTTATTCATTCCTAACACCTGTATTTACTTCTTGCTGAATCGAAGCGCGAATGGTTACGTATGAACGTGCATAGACTTTGGTTATATATGTTCAGAATGTTTTCTCGCCATGGAAATTCTTGTGCATTAATTCTATAAATTTGTTGTCACGTGATGTTTTTCGACACATCTGGGCCCCACATTAGAAATATTGACACGTGTTTGCATTATTTCGTTATGATAAGGCACTTTGGAAGTGGCCGTGGCCGATTGCGCAGGTCTTCCACTTCGCGACTTTGATGATTCCTTGCGAATATATTAGGAATGTTCTGACATAATGGACTATGAATATAGTGAGCTTACCTGTGGCGTGACGTCAGTACAAAATTTCAACAATATCCGACAATCCATTCAGTGGTTAAGGAATTTATGCGCGGTACACCATTTTTTGCTGAGTCAGCATACCCCGTTTTGGTTGGGTTGGGCTGTGTTAGGTTAGGTTAGTGGGGCAACTGCGCAGTACGTGTTGCGCACTGGTGTCATGGCATGTAACTTGTCCGTGCTTGCGCAACGTGTGATCGTCATTATTGACTGCTTAAAATAAAAGTAGTCGGATATTTGAATCCTTCACATATTAAATAAATATAAAGTCATGGCATCACATGCTAATGCATTTGTTAAAAGGACATAAGGATTTTACACTGTTTACCTGTTTTCATCGTAAGTGATCACAATTCAGATGACGTAAACATGTTGGTTGAAGGGCAGAAATTTGTTGTCGAATTATATGTTGTCGACACACTAGATTATTATTAAATTTTTTGATCTGCTTTTATTTTACACTTGATGGATATATTACAATGTTGTCATTCTATATCACCCTTAAAAATTAATGAGTTTATTAACTTTAAACACGTGTAACAGTCGTTGCTCAAGGTCTCCCATCTCGCGACTTTGATGTCTTCTTGGGGCTTTATGACAATATTTACGAAAAATTGATCGGGGATGTTACTAACTCACGCGTGGTATGAAGTCCATACGAAATTTAAATAATTTCCCACCAACGTTATATCACTGTAAGGACGTCCTGCACTAAGTTTGACTTTTTGATGCACACAGTAGTTTTTGATGTAACGCAGCAAATTAATGTCTTTAATGTTCCCAGATGTTTTTTTGAACACAAGTGTCTTTAATACGTTCCTTCAGAAATCCTGTTAGAGACGAATTTTGAGCAGCAGCCATTCGCTCAGGAACAGAAGTTTTATGTTTCTTTTAATAGGTGGAATGGATGAGGAATTTAGTCTTTTGAGTGATTTGTTGTCTTTACCACTGGCGCCTTGTGTTGTCTTCTATGTGGTTTCTTGTGAATTGTTCATAGGTCGCAGCACAATGTGTGATGTGGTAGGTTTTTTAATCTGTGGTCTATGGATGTGTTTTATATATATATAAGGTATTTCTAGTGCGACGGTTAACATTTGAAATTATAATAACGTTAGATGTATGTTTGTGCGTTTTGAGGTCATTTGTTTTGTGTGGTTAATGGTACTGTGTGAATCGTATTTGCACATTTTGTCTGCGAAAGGGGCAATGTTATGTATATTATATGATTGATTTCGTGTTTAGTTTATTTGCGTTTTGGAATATCGCATTTCTTTGTGCCAGGAGTGTAACAGAATGCAAAATAGCTGTGAGTTATTCCTCTGGGGAAAAAAGTATAAATAATATTACATTTGATAACTGGATAATGAAATTCTCATAGGCGGCTAATATTACCTTTAGGTAATGAAGTTGATTTATGTTGTGGACAATGGAATAGAAAGATTGGGAGCCATAAAATAGAGACATGTCAGTTGGGTGTGCTTCGTCCGTGTGTCCTCAGTTAAGACTAGAATAGACTATAATCTATTTACATTCCGTGGATGTGGAACGCATAATACAATTACGAACACTATACGGATAAAATAATTCACAAACCTAAATAGCTATTTGCAATATTCAATATTTTTCAGTTGAAGTACACTTTTGAACACAGTAAAGGGAGTGAGATAAGAGATAATATTTCAGTGCTAGCCTAAATGTTTCCTATAATGATTTAAACTTTTAGTTCTAAGAGAAAAAGTATTGAACAACTTGATGCTTACATAGTAAGCACCATTCTGATTACATTCGGCATATGGAGGTTATGTTTATGCCTTGTGTATGTTAGAATTTAATTAAAACTTCTATTTGGTGTCCACAGTGAATGGCATAAATGTGAGTAAAAATTCACTTCCAAGGGGGAAATATATTAAATTTCTTAAATAGCTCTATACAATATACTTTTTTGACACCTGCCATTATTCTAATGTTTAGAATAATAGCCTTCCATTGGTTCCCATCTTAAGCCAGATGAAATCAATCCACATCCCTCCCGTTAAGAGCCATCTAATATTATTATCTTATCTATGCCTGAGTCTTTTGAATGATTCCTTTTATTCAGGATTTCCAACCAAAGTTTTGTACACATTTCCTGCCCTCCCTTCCCATACTCTGTAGGCGGTGCCAATCTTATCATTCTTTGTTTGGTCATCCTAATAACATCTGGGGAAGAATATAAATTATGGAACATCTCATGCAATTTTCTGTGACCTGTTACTTCATCCCTCTTAGTTTCAGATATTCTCTTCAACCTGTTCTGAAACATCCTCTGCCTCTGTTATTCCAGTAATGTGATCATGTTTCATAATCATATCAAACAGCAGGTTACATTACAGTTTGTTTTTATGTAGTAGATGGGAAGCCAAAAGATTGTTGCATGGTAGCAAACATTGCCAGATTTAATCTATTCTTAATTTCGTTATGGATGCAATTTTTATCTGTTGCTATTATTCCCATATATTTTAATTTTTTAAAAAATATTTAGTAATAAAGTCTATTTCTCATGATATTAAAATATTGTGCTGAGGTTAAAATGGGTTGTGGTGACACATGCAAGGAGCATCTCTGTTTCATGAATGAATGAAAATGAGGTTGGTCAGAAGGTTACGTGAATGTCAGCTTCATAGGTTACTTAGAATATAATATTATAGAAAGTTTTGAGTTGAGGGTTTTGAAAGGAAGTGGTAGTGGCCTACTTGATACTGTTACTGCATAGACAAGGAAACCTATGTTCAGGCTAGTTGGTCTTGTCTTAAATTGCATCTCATTTGCAAGTTAGATGAATTATTGCTGAGTTAAAGGAAGAAGGTCAACACAGTCTAGTCTAAGAAATAATTCTGGTTTCTGAAAATGAACTAACTTAGAACATCTGCTTCAACTCTTCCTGCATAAATTACAAATTTTTATTCCTTGTGTTTAGTACTGATGATGACAGAAGTTTGGATTTCAAAACATGGTTGTGAATATCAATTAAATCAAAGTAAAATATGTTAGTAGTCAGCAGGCTGGTTAAGTGAAATTTTGGGTCCTCATGGTGCCAAATAAGAAGATGTCTGTCATCTGGGTTGTTGCATTTTGTAGTCTGGTATAAGTTTACTGGTGTTTCAGAGGTACAGAAATGTAATAAGCCATGAGGTTGTTTTTACTACTGTAGTACATATAATTTCCTGTAATTAATTGTTCAAAATGTTCCTGAAATTAGCGATTTTGAACTGAATGTTTAACAAGGGCTAGTGTTGAACTAATGTTATATTATTTAATTTCAGGTAAACTGTTTTTTGGTCAACTGAATCAATTTAAAAATGGAGGAAGACACAGAATATATTAAGTTACCAGTAGAAGATCGTTGTGTTCACAAGGTATTTTTTTTACAATTTTTCCTTTTATGATTTTTTTTGTTCTAAAAAGGAAGCTACTCATTTATATATATATTTTTCAGCTTTGGAAAGCAAGACTCAATGGCTATGAAGAGGCAGCAAAGTTGTTCCAGCAGATTGATGATGAAAAATCTCCAGAATTCAACAAGTTTTTGGGTCTTGTTAAGAAGTTTGTTGTTGACAGCAATGCAGTTGCACAAGAGAAGGGGCTTGAAGCTGTGCTTGCATTTGTTGAGAATTCTGCTTCTTCTGCCAAGTAAGAACCTACATGAATCTTTGTAAATTAATTTGTGATCTTGAAACATAATCAACTGGGTACTAAATGACCCCATGAGCCGGGATAGCTCAGTCAGTATAGTGACTAGCTACGGGCTGGACGACCGGGGTTCGATCCCCGACGGGGGCAGAGGATTTTTCTTCTAGCCTCTGCGTCCAGACTGGCTCTGGGGCCCACCCAGCCTCCTCTACAATGGGTACCGGGGTCCTTTCCCGGGGGTAAAGCCGGCCGGGGCGTGATGCTGACCACTCACCCCCATCTAGTGCTGAGGTCAAGGAAGAGAGGAGCTATACCTCCACTCCCCCCAAGCGCCTACATGGCGTATAGTGGGACAAACTTTACTTTACTTTACTAAATGACCCAGCGTGGAGCAGAGTTCTTATTGAGAAGTTGTAGTGCACTCAGCTAGTCAGGAAATTCCTGCATTTTATGGAACTTGAAGGTTTAATACTGAATTCACAAGTCAGTGGTCCCTGTCTTGAACCAATTGAATGTGGTTCATACCCCCAAACCATTACCCAAAGATCCATTCAAATAAAATTGTCCCATCCATGTATACATCTTCAAGTGGTCTCTTCCTTTCAGGTCTTTCAACCTACATTTTATATGAATATCTTGTCATCTCCATTAATGTTACATGTCCCACCCATCCCTTCCCATCCCATCCCATCCTCCTTGATTTGATTATCCTGATAATATTTTATAAAGTATAAATGCTATGAAGGTCCTTAGTATGCAGTTTCGTCCAGCCTCCTATCACTTCTTTCCTCTTAGGTCCAAATATTATCCCAAGCAAGCTGTTCTCACAAACACCTTTAGTTTGTATCTGCTGTGTATATTATTTTTCATGAGTAGAATGTTTTTCACAGTCTGACTTTATGAGGGAGTGGGAACTCTCTCATTATTATTTTTTTGGCGCAACAGGTTACATAAACAAAAGTAGAGATATTTTGAAGAGCCCATTTCTTTCGAGGGTTATGGGTTGGGGTTATCAAATGTTAACTTAATTCACTAATCAACATGAAATTTGTTAGATGCCTGAACATTTCACTAGTAAACACAAGCATATACATTTCAATAGAGTACGCATAGATGCAGCATATAATAACAAAAATAATTTTTTATTCTGTGTGATTTTCAGCCTATTTTCCTTTCTTAAGTAAACTTACAGGATGTTAGATTATCATACTTTGTGTGTGTGGTAATAAGTTCAGCATTTTTTTTTTGTTTGGTTACAGAACTGTTGGAGAAGTCATGTCTGGAATTATTTCCAAGTGCATTGCTGCACCAAAAGCAAAAACAAGGGAACTGGCCGTTCAGATTGCTCTCATGTACATAGAAATTGAGAAATTTGAAGCTGTTCAGGAGGAACTTCTGAAAGGAATGGAACATAAAAATCCAAAGATTGTTTCAGCTTGTGTCTCAGCAGTTACACAGGCTCTCAGGTATCGATACAGTTTTTTTATTCTTGAAGGATGTTATATGTGACAGTATCTTTCATCTCCCCCCCCACCCTTTCAGTACTACTGTTAGTAAGTAATTCCACTGTACCATGTGTTCTTAACGGGATTGTCTGTTTGTAATAAACATGGGATAATTCTGTGGTCCTTTTGGTTTTCTTCTGTCCTCCAATCTTTAACATTTCAACTCCACATCTCTCCCTTTTTATCATATATGTTGTTCCAGCCATATGTTGTTTGGTACTATATAACCTTGACAGCTGATATAGCATTACAAAATAACAGTGATGGTAACTATGTATTTTCTCACATTCATTGCTGCAGAACTGCAGTTATGCAACTTCATCAACTAATCTAATTACCGATGAAGGAAATTGATTTTACTCGGCTGTGGTTTAATAATGTTTAGTATCCTGATTTTCCCTGTATTTGACTCTGGTCTTTGTAATCCAAAGGGATGTGTGTGAACAGTTGTTTTTTAAATAATGTTACTTAGTCTTCCTCATGCTCTGTTGTAAGTTTACTTAACACTAATAATATGTCTGACATTTTCTTTGCAGGAATTTTGGCCCAAAGGTTGTAAACATTAAGCCATTAATAAAGAAGATGCCTGTGTTACTAGAAGACAGAGACAAATTTGTAAGAGAAGAAGGGAAAACTATGGTGATTGAAATTTATAGGTGGATCGGTGATGCTCTAAAACCCCAACTTAATTCTCTTAAGCCAGTTCAGGTAAGTGTTATTCTTATAACATGAATGACCACTTATCCCCATCTAGTGCTGAGGTCAAGAATGAATAGGGAGCTATACCTCCACTCCCCCCAAGCGCATACATGGCATATAGTGGGACAGCTTTATCCTGTAAATGAATAGTGTTATGATCAACTGGCAAACTTTGACAGATGAGATAGGTGGAAGAGGTTTGACATAAACGCAGTATGATTTTTACATCATCTGAATAATCTTCCGTCACTACCTGTAATGGTCTGGTATATGTTCAACATGAAGGTTATGTTGACTTACCAGAGGAAATAATTCTCCATAGACAATTTTAGACATGTTCTGCTGACTAATCTCAATATCAGCTGGATTTTGGCGTTAGCATCAAAAATGTGTAACTGACACCATTGTGAAGAACCATTTGAGAAACTTATAGTTGCTCATTGAGTTGTAGTTTCTGTGGAATCAGTGCATACTAGCATTTTGCCTTATTCCAGAATTTAGTTTCAGCAGAAAGAGAAGCATTTATTTAAAGTATGGATTTAAGTTTATTTTGTTATTTTGTCTTAGAATACTTATTACCAGTTATTTTTCAATCCTTCCTGACATACTGATGCTCTTTCTTTAAAACATGTTGAACATTATACACATGAAGATGGCTGTCTTCTGGGTTGTAGTGTCATGTAGTCTGGTAGACATTTGCCACCATTTCAAAGGTTCTTGCTGCCTTTATCATCAGGGCTGTGAGTAAGCAGACCTCACTCAAAACCCGAAGTTACATAGCCTTATGTATCATTAGCTTGGTCATATTTGCACTCTTCTAAAGCAGTATGGTTAATTGTAAGACTTGAGGTTCTCACAGCGGTAAGTATGAAGATTTCCGTCTTCTGGGTTGTTGCGCTGTGTAGTCTGGTCGATGTTAACCAACGTTTCAGAGGTCATACTGCCTCCGTCAGCAGGGCGATGAATATGGTTAATTAATAAATATCTTTTAATTTTTTACCCATTCTCTGCAATATGTATAGGGTACCCTAAATGTTGACTTTGTATATTGTTTTAACATGTTCATTACATATTTTTAATTAGGTAGATAATTTTTTTTCCTTCAATACAGGTAACAGTATTAGAATCAGAATTTGAAAAAGTGAGAGGCGAGAAGGCTTTGCCCATTCGTTACCTCAAATCACAGCAACAGAAGCAGGCCAAGATGGCTGCCGAAGCAGCTGCAGCAGCTGGGGATGGAGAAGGTTAGAGTGTTACTTGTTATCAGAATAACTGTTTGTAGTAAGGAGTTCAATGAAATAATTATTTCAGTGGAATACGAAAGAACTCTGAGGAAAACCTGCTCCAGTTCCATGTATCTTACTTGAAGTCATCTGTGAAACTTATTTTTTCACTAATTGTATGGTATAATACTTTTTAATATAAATTTGAAAATGGTATTGTATTTGTATAACTCTTGAACAAGTTATGACAATTACTATCCTACAGATGAGTTGGAAGATGAGAAGGATGGTGCTCCTGATGTAGACCCAAATGAGCTGTTTGAGCCAGTGGATATACTGTCAAAACTGTCAAAGGAATTTTATGAGAAATTAGAAGCAAAGAAATGGCAGGAAAGAAAGGAAGCTGTGGACTATCTGGAGCAACTTTTGCAGACACCAAAACTGGAGAGTGGAGACTACGGGGATGTAGTCCGCGCTCTCAAGAAAGTAAGGCTGCTTGCACGCTGCGTGCCCCAGCATCGACCCTGATTCCTGGACAGCATGCAGCATAATGTGAAGGAAGCATTTGATTGTATGGGATGTCTTACACTGCTTCCTTTATTAACCACAGCAGTGTGAGGTGTCTCATAGAACTAACACTCTTCATTGATGTTCTTCCTGATCATTTATCGTATGTTGGTTGAAGGTGGTCAGCAGTGTAGCTGATGCATGCAGTCTGTGAGGGGCTTAGTGACCTTGGTTGTTTATACAGGATTTCTTTAACCTTTATCTTACTAGCATTCCAGGCCTGGGAACATAAGTTGTGTACTCAGCCCTTCCCAGAGGGGACCTCAAAACTTGCAACATTGTGAGAAGATTTGGCTACATCTTTTGGCCTATTTTAGAGGCTGTAAACATTGATTCACTTTCTCTAGGGTTTTGCCAAGGTCGTCCATGGCTGTCAACACAGGAAATATAACCATAACCATCAATAAACTTTGTTATTGTCAAGTGGATTGCTTCCTTTTTAGACCTCCTTATTCAAAGCTTCTCAAATTCCTCAGCAAGAAGGGTGAAAATAATGTGTAACCAATGAATTAGGGGAAACAAATTTTTCTGTGTGGTCATTAGTTCACATGTCCAATGAGCTTCCAAAGAAGAAAGTAAAGTTACTAAGGCCCATTTAGGCAATTAAGGTATTAACCGCATTTTTAAAAAAAAAACTCTATATATTCTCTGTTCTATTCGAATAAATATGGCTTTTATTTCGTCAATTTATCATGTTTACTTTAGATAATATTAAAGTTTTCCATAGAACGTGCACAAAAGTTTAAAAACCTGCAAAACAACTCCGTAGGGCTGCTACCACTTTGCCATTTAAATCTCCGTCATTTTAAAGGTTAAATAAAGGCAGAGGTTGTTACTGTAGGTTTCTTAGGGTTTGATCTATTTTGTAACATCTTCTGCACCCTCATAAGAGAATGTAGGCAATTATGTTTATTAAAATGTGAGTTGCAGCTTTTTGTAATGGTGAGTATGCAATTTCATTTGGTAACAGTATACTCTTTAACCACACTAGAAAAGAATGAAAGTACAATATTTTTAAACAAGCAAGGAGATGCACTTTGTCTTCAGAAGAGTTCCATCATAATATGCATGCAATCTTCATGGTGAAGGAGTTAGTTACTCTTGTCTCTGTATTGTTTTCAGATAATTTCTAAGGATACAAATGTGATGGTTGTTGCGGTGGCAGGAAAGTGTGTGGCAGGACTGGCAAATGGTTTGAAGAAGAGATTTCAGCCTTATGCACTATTTTGCATTCCATGCATCTTGGAAAAATTCAGAGAGAAGAAACAGAATGTTGTGGTTGCATTACGAGAAGCAGTTGACGCTGTGTTTATGAGTGTGAGGCCTCCATTTGATTATTTTCTTTGTAATATATTATTTGACATTGACATGTTTGGTCAAAATCTTGTTACTGTCCTAAAGTTTTATCTCTTTATTGCAGACAACTATAGAGGCTATTCAGGAGGATGTTCTAATCGCTTTAGAAAACAAGAATCCACAGGTCAAAGCAGAAACAGCATCCTTTTTAGCAAGATGTTTTACAAAGTGCACGCCAGCAATGCTTAACAAGAAACTGTTAAAGGCCTATACCACAGCATTACTGAAGACATTGAATGAATCAGGTTCTGTATTTCTCATATTCATGCAGAAATGTTTTTGCTGTTGTGTATAATATGCATTTATTGAAGATGCAGATCTACGTCTTGAAGCTAATACCACATTTTACTATCAGAAATTATTTTTTCCTGCATGTTATTAAATGTTTTTCATATCAGCAAATATTTTTAATTAAACCTTTGGAATTTTTTGAAATTTATTCTGTATTTTGTATTGTGCAAATTTGTTTGTACATCAACCTGTTTTAGGTAGAATTGATAAGTTCAGTGTGAGCTTCATGCTAAATAGAATTTATATTATGTCAACATGAAAAGAAAGAATTCACAGCTTTCTTGTAGGCATGTTTGAGAGGGCCTAGTTTCAAATCAACTGGGGTCAAGCTGTTTCTTGTAATTTTCCTAAGTTCCTGCTTTCAAAATGCTTGTTTTTTAAGATGTGAGGAACACTCAAAAGTTTGTAGTTTCGTAAAAGGTGTTGTTGTATTTAACAATATATCTTATGGAAGAAATAAATTCAACTTACAAACATGTTTCAAAGAACACATTATGTTCGTAAGTTGGGGTTCACCTGTACTGAAAAGACGATAATTGATGTAAATGCTAAACATTTCTGGCCATTTAAGTTACCATTCCGAATTTATGAAATTGAATTTGTTTAATAATGAGTCAATATAAACCATTTATTTTTACCATCCCTTAATATTCTTCATTACTCTTTTTAAATGTGATGATTGTAACTTGAAGAAAATCTGTTAGATCTGGAGTTGAGATGACAGCATAATCATTTGATTTTACAGACCCAACTGTCAGAGACAGTTCTGCAGAGGCTTTGGGTGCAGCTATGAAAGTCGTTGGTGAAAAACCAATTATGATTTTCATGACAGATTTAGATAATATTAAGATGACAAAAGTAAGTATCCATATTCCCTCTTTTCTTGTAGCTACTAAGGTTTTTGAGTAGTAGCTATAATCTGATGTCCAAGAAATTGCCACTAATCCAACAGCTGATAGGATTAAATACTTTGAATGAAGATTCTCCTTAGCTGGAAAGCTATCCTCTTGCCCTGATTATAGTTTTGTGATTAAAGATCAAACTTAAGTCAAATGTACAGATTTCTGGCAAGTGTGCTGCAATTTTTGCATTATATTGTAATATAGATAGACATATATTTATTGACCATAGTGGTTTATGCTTAATAGCGATGGTAATATTATATCTTTTCTTTATTTTGGTTCATATTCTGTTGATTGATTCCTAGTGATTCTTTCTACATGATGAAGGCCTTAATTCACATTGTTATTACAAGTCAGTTGTTTTGCCTGAAATTGGGGGTTCTCTTGTTTATCTAGCAATGTTGGTTTGTTCATGATCATTTGCTGTTGAGGGATTTTGGGCCTTATACGATTATATTCATAAATGTGTGTGCTGTTATTACCATTGTAGTGGTGTGGTGATCATTTCGTGTTCAAGGGTTTTGGACTTGAGAGATAATATAACCATTGCCATGGTAATGCTTTTAAGGGGGGCTTATTTTGTATGTGTAATGCAATGCAACACAGTTATAACCTCAAAATACAATCACATTTGAGATTGCAGAGCATGAAATCATATGCTCTGTAATTATGCAAGGATAAGTAATTTTAGTTTTTATGTGGTTTTGCTACTCTTTTCAATAAGAATATTTTTTTAAGCACTGTTTTGACTTTCCTGTCATTCTTGACAGGGAGTTTTCTAGTTTGTTTACATAAAGTGTTGTAATTAATACTTGTACCCTTGTAATAGATTAAGGAATGCTGCGATAAGGCTGTTATTGTATCAAAAGTTCCTAAAACTGATCGCCCCAATACGGCACCTGCCAAGCTGGCTCGTGGAAATGGAGAGGGAGGTGGGAAGGTTGTGGCAGGAAGTGTTGCACCAAAGCCTGTCAAGAGACCAGCTACAGTAGGAGGTGCTGTACCACCAAAGAAGACACAACAGAAAAAACAGCTTGGTTGTGCTCCAGCTGGCAAAGGGAAAGCACCTGCAAAAGTTGCTGAAAGAAATCTTGGTCAAGAAGAAGTCGATGAAAAGGCATCTGCTATCTTCTCCGAAGAAATAATTTCAGGTCTCAGTGATGGGAACTGGAAAACTCGTCTGTCTGCTGTGGAACAGTTAACACAGGTAATGCTTATATTCGCATGTAAAATGTGTTGGTGGAATGAGAAGTGCAGACCATATTTTAGAAAACCTGAAGGGATAGGTTGTATGGGATATATAGGCAAGTGTGGGAGGATAATATTATAATGGATATTAATTAGAGTGTAAGCTGGATTCATCTGGCTGAGGATAGGGTCAGATATGGGCTTTTTTGAATGTGCTAATCACTTTTCAGTTCAATAAAAGGCATGAAATTTCTATACCCTCTTGTGAATTAGCTTTTCAAGAAGGATCCTCATTTTTGGAGTCGCAGGTTACGTTCTGTCTTTCCCAATAAAGCTGAAGTTGTTGAAAAGTTATTCCACTGGATGCTCATTTATCATAGTACTGAAAACTTTCTAGAATAGAGATGCATTTTTTTGTAATTGGCTTTGTGATGTTTATTCACTTCATTTATTGTTTCAGTGGGTGGTAGAAATAGAAACTGAAATTCCAACTCAAGTTATAATCAGAACATTGAATAAGAAGCCTGGATTAAAGGATACAAACGTCCAAGTTCTAAAAGCCCGGCTTGAAGCTGTGAAGCTGTTGGCAGAAAATGCTCGATTTACAAGGTTTTTATTTAATTATGTATGATAATATAATTAAAATTGTATACAAATAGTACCTGTTAGAAATGTCAGGGAAGGAGGACGGTATTAAAATTTATCTTAAAGACGTTGAATGTGAGAATATGGACTCGGTTAATTTGGTTTGGGTTGTGGTCCGATTATGGGGCTCTTGTGAACATGGTAATGAATTATTGTAAAGCCGGGTAATTTTTTAACTAGTTGAGTGCTTGATAGCCTATCAAGAAGGGTTCTGCTTTATGGAGTTTATTATCATGTGCTTTTTATTGAAAATATAAGGGAAAATCCCTCGAGCATGCTGTAAGATAACATGAACATTCAAGAGATTGTGATGGCATACAAGCATATGGTTTTAAATGTTGCAGCATACTGTTAGTGACAGAGTATTTGAATTTTTATGTCTTTTAGACTGCTGTCAGGAGGTGTGGTTGTGGCCAAGGAGTCTTGGAATTTGACTTTTTATGCACCCCTCATGCCATTCACTGATGTAAAGTTTTCTGGGTTTCAGGAGAGACTGTGTTAACTAATTGTTCTTTGTTTCTATGCCAACTGTACCAGATGTCACAACCAAGTGCTTAGCACCATTGCTTCAAATTTGGGAGGTCTTGGATTCAGATCTTTGGACTGAGGTTTTGTGGTTTTACTCATTCCCTCCAGGCAGATGCTGCTATAATATCTTAAATTAGGCCTCAAATTCTCTACAATTCATTATTTGTTGATTGCCTTATCATCTGGAGCTGTATAGTGTGATCTAATAATTTTAATTTGTATTTCTGTAATGTATTGATTGTTACAAATAACCAATGTCATTGACTCAACTAGTTCCATTACAGCCAGATCCACAGATTGTATAATGATCAAACATTTTCATTTTTTTCAGTACTGTCCTGGACTATTGTATAACTGACATTGCAGACAAACTTGGAGATGTTAAGAATGGAACTCTGGCAGCAGAAACCCTAACATCACTTGCTGAGGCTACTAAATTGGAATTGGTAGCCACTGAGGTGATGAATTTTGCATTTACTCAGAAGAGCCCCAAGGTACAGCAAGAAGCACTAGCTTGGCTTTCCACTGCCATCAGAGAATTTGGATTTCAAAGGTTGGCAATCTGAGTATGATTAAGGCTATTTGTGTATAGCTGTATTAAATGTATTTAAATGTTTGTCTTCTGGGTTGTAACATCAAGTTGTCATGTTGACATGTTGATACAAATGCTTCAGAGGAACTTATTGTCCCCATCTTCACTTCAACCCTGAAGATGTTGGTATCTGTGTACAAGTCTGCATGGCATTACACCCCTGAAGACCAACAACAACTAAAAACTGTTGCTTGTAAAACAGTAATTTTTTCCATCTTTGATAACATATATAAAATAATACATGCATGCGAACTTGCACACATGGTGCTGTTTAAAATTTGCAGACTGGTATAAATTAAGCTGTGGACTCCATCACTGGTTTAGAAGTTCTGTAACTTGCTTTAATTTTTATTTCTGACATATTGCTTTTGTTTTATCTTTCAGTGTCCAGCCAAAGCCTATAATGGACAATGTGAAGAAGGCAGTGAGTGCTTCTAATCCTGCTGTACGTAGTGTTGCCATAAATTTAATAGGAACTCTGTACCTGTACTTAGGATCACAGCTATCAGTGTTCTTCGAAGATGAGAAGTCACAGTTACAGCAGCAGATTAAAGCAGAATTTGCTAAGGTAAACAGAATTAATTTCATATTTTGTGATCTGTAACTTGGTTGTGTTTTCATTGAGGCATGTGTGAAATCAGATTGTATATTTTGAGTCAAGAGAAAGATTGGGGTTTTACTTTTTATTATTGTTCTTTCTGTAGAAGTTTTGTGGCCACATTTTAAAGTTGTGTATGTATGTAAAGTTAACAAATTGTCGTAAGAGGTGGATTTTCTTCCCCAGATGCAATTAAAAGAAGTCGGACATCATTCCGTATATTTAGAAATATAATTGCGATGTCAATTTTGTGAGCAGTTTAAAAGGAGTCACTGACATTGAGATGTAGGCTCTGAATTCTGTTTTGTTCATGAAAAGTTGGTAAATTAGCATAACCAGTGCATAGAGTATACCATACAAAATGCAACCCAACCAACAACATTCATAGTTATACTGTCCTTCCAAGTGAATTGTGGGATAGTACCTTAAATTTGGCCATGACCACTTCCTTCCACATCCTTTCTAATTCATTATTCACAATCATCCTTTCATTTGACACTTATAATCTGAGATACTGAAAGAGTCGTTTAATAAACTGTAAATTAAGTCATTCTTTGTCCTCCAAACTCTTCTCTTATGTCTGCTCACTTTCCCTGCTTACTTGTCACCCCAGAGATTAATTTTTTCAACATTCCAGTTGGGTATAATAGCATGAAGATCATTGAATTGCATTGCCACCAACTTTTGTGATTGCTTTCTGTTTACTTACAGCATGCTGGGGAAGCCCCACCAGTTCCCATCCGAGGATTAAGTAAGAAAATTGATAGAGAAGAGGAGGAGGAGGAGGATGATGATGATGATGGAGAGGATGTTGAAGGACCAGTAAATGAAAAGCTGAATATTCATGATCTGATGCCCCATGTCGATATCAGTTCTCATATCACAGATAGTCTTTTGTCAGAACTACAAGACAGAAACTGGAAAGTAAGCATGCTCCTATTTGTATTTTTCTTTTTGGCTCTAGGTTTCTTGCATACTGATGTTTTTTTACAGGAAGGTATGTCTTTTGGTCCAGGATAATGTGATATATTAATTTTTTATTTTAATTTAAATATTTAATTATTGAATTGTATAAATTTTAGATTGAATTGTGTCTTATAGTAATCTGCTTTGTCCCCTTGTACAGTAACCATTAGATGTCTTCCCAAAACATTTACTATTTAATGCTAATAAAACAAACACATTGAAACAGAAAGAGTTATTTTTGAATGCTTTCACTTTCTTTCCAAATTATGCAAGTCATAATCGCAAACACTTTAAATATTGTAGTTAAACTAGTTTGTGTAAGCATGCTTTAAGCTAGATTTATTTGGAAATTTAAAAAGTAGTAAATACAGTGTGGGGTAACAAACAGTCATAGTTTTGGAACAAAGCACGATAGAGACATGAAATAAACTTCAAAATAAAGAGAAACTCTCCAAGAATTTTGCCTGTTCAGTAGATTTTGATATGCTCTCCTTTAGTTGGCCTGCAGACATCAAGACGATATTCAAGCTCTTGCCATACACGACCGAGAACATCCGGTGTGATTTATGAAACAGCTTCAGTGATCCGCTCTTTCAAATGGTCCAAATTTGTTATTTGGACAGAGAACACTTGTTGCTTCACATAACCCCACAAATAAAAATCCATAGGGGTAAGATCTGGAGAGCGTGGAGGCCAGGCTATCCACCCTCCTCGTCCGACCCATCGCTGAGGAAATGTTTGGTTTAGGTAATCCCGCACGAATGTGGCAAAATGTGGAGGAGCTCCATCTAACTGGAGAATGAAATTCTCTGGTATTTGGGGCACTGCATACCCTTCTAACATATCCAGGAAATTCTTTCCCGTCACAGATTTTTCAGCAAAAAAGAAGGGGCCAATAACTCTGTCTCGTCCAATTGCGCACCACACATTAACTTTTGGGCTATCACGTTGATGTTCCATAATGACATATGGAGGTTCATTACCCCATATTCTAACATTATGCCGATGGACTCGTCCCGAAACATGAAATGTAGCCTCATCACTGAACAAAAACTTGTCTAAAAATTCCTCATCATTATCTATTGACCTTGTAACAGCGCGCATGCGCTAGAACCTGTTTACGTATCGAAAAATTGGAGAGTTTCTCTTTATTTTGACGTTTATTTCATGTCTCTGTCGTGCTTTGTTCCAAAACTATGACTGTTTGTTACCCCACCATTATTTTACGGACACACTGTATGTATTTTGTTCAATAGTTACATGTAACTTTTTCTGTGTAAATCCTGCTTTAATTCCAGAAATAAAAGTTGTATGGCTAAGATAGCTTAATAATGCATATTACAATGTGAAATGGGAGACATTATGTTGTTATGCCAGTTACAGCTATACTGTGTAAAGGATATATATACTAGTGAGAAAAATTACCATATTTTTTGTGTCCAGGTGCGGAATGAGGCATTGCAGAAGGTGGCAAATATTTTGAGTGAGAATAAATTGGTATCAAACAACTTGGGTGAGCTGCCTACTGTTCTATCACAGCGTCTTGTTGACAGTAACAGTAAAATAGCGGCTGCTGCAATTACGATCTGTCAGTCATTGGTTAATGCCATGGGTGTTCAGTGTAAACGTCATGTGCGTACTCTGTTCCCAGGCATGCTTCAGGGAATGGGAGACAGTAAGGTAAAGCATTTTATATCAATATGCACTTCAGAAGTGTCTGAATGATGCATTAGACATTGATTTCAACTTTCTGTATGGATTAGTATTTGGTATTTGTTCTTGCAATTAATATTACTTGATTTTCAGACTTTGTCAGTCTTCTATTATTATGAAAAGTGTGCAGTATTTTTTTCGCTAGATTGTACTGAGGGTACCTGGATAAATAAGTTATACCAACAAGAAACCATATTACATTACCAGCTGTAGAAAAGTAGAAATCACTCAGTTTGTCCTGACACAAACTAGATAGTAGACCAGTAGCAGGAAACTGTTTATGTCTGGGCTAGTATTCAAATTTATGATTTTGAGTTCAGTTTGTTTATCTGTGTCATCAGTTCCCTATAAATCATTACCAGATATTACCATGAAGAGAGTTTAGTATAAATTGACAGCATAATAACGTAGTTAAAATTTTTAGAATGTAAGGAACTTTCACTATGTTAAAGATTGTATTTAAAGATTTCTAAAGAAACTATTGATCCATTTCAGCCTTGGATCCGTTCTTCTGCAACAGCATGTGTCAATGCTTGGGGTCAGCAGTGCGGATTTAAAGAGTTCTTTGATGGAGAAATGATTGGAGATGCCCTTAAGTCAGGGAGCCCAACCCTGCGAATAGAACTTTGGGCATGGCTTACAGAAATACTTCCTACATGTAAGTATATAAAATTAAATATCTGGATATTGTATTCATGATAATGTACAGGTACATCAGACACTTTTACAAGTAGTTAATGTAGAACTGGGATAGCTCAGTCTGACTGGCTTCAGGCTTGGCAACTAGGGTTTGATTCCCATGCCCAGCAGTGCCAGATTTACTCTTCGCTATATCATCCAGACCAGCTGTGATGCCCATTCCTCTCCAGTGGATCCTGGGGTTGTTACCTCAGAAATAAAGTAGCCAGGAATGACGCTAACTACTCGCATCCATCTGCTGCCACAGAATGAGTGGAGCATACTTGTGTATACTGTAGTGTTCAATTAAATATCAGGGATGAGTTTATTTTATTTTTAGTTTCGTTGTGTTTCAAAATATAGTCGCTTTGTGGAGGCCTGGGTTTACTCCCAGTGTAATCCATGTGGGATTCGTGGACAGATTTTTCTGAGGCCTCTGTTCAGACTGGATCTGGGGTCCACCCTACATCCTATTAGATGGGTTTCAGGTGGTCATTTCCCTGGAGTTAAAGTGTGACCAACATGTGATGCTGACCTCTCACCCCCATCTAGTGCTGAGGTCAAGAATGAGTAGGAGTTATACCTCCTCTAGTCCCCCACAAATACCTTCAAAACATGTGTCTGGGGTGGCTCAACTTTTTACAGTACAACTGATCTTTATTTGGTAACAGTAAGATCAATTTTATGACATTAAAGGTGACTAATTTGATGCTAATTTATTTTTTCAGTGCCACCCAGGTCTATCTCTAAGGATGAATTGTTGATCTGTCTACCACACTTGTATGCAAATGTGGAGGATCGTAGTGCAGATGTGAGGAAAAATGCCCAGGAAGCTATCGTTCCATTTATGATACACTTGGGATATACGACAATGGCCAAAGCCTCAGAGAAATTGAAAGCAAGTGTTTGTGACAATTAAATATTTTACTTTAAGATCTGTTTATCCATTTTGACTTTGTGGAACTTCTTGAGATGCATGTGTATATGTTTGCTGAGCACTTCAGTGGTGAATGGGCTTATGTTAATTTTATTACTTTGTTAAATTGCCAAATATGTATGGCTACCTGCAGGATGGTATAGGTTCAGAGTTGGCCACTGTTAACATTGTACATCTCCATGTGTATTTGAAAGTATATAGATCTTATTTTTTATGTACCTGATACAGCTTCACAATGTGCATAGGCATATGGTAGCTACCTTTACCTCTTTTTAATCTCTAAAATTTGTAATCCCATTGAAATTTGATTTCATTTTAGTGTAATAAGTGATCTTAGTACCTAATTGGTATGTAACCAGTCAATAAATTCCTTGTTGGTGTATTTGTTATTGATGTGATGTTTTGTTAACAGACTGGATCTCGCTCTGTTGTGATCGCAGCCCTTGACAAGGCTCGTCCTAATCTACCAGAGAAATCTCTGCCACCTAAAAAGACAGGAGCGTCTGTTACTGTTGATGATGATGCAGAGCCGAGCAAGGTTGTGAGGAGTGGAGTTGTAAAAGGGGCATCTGGAAAGAATGCTAAAGGAAAAGTGAGTTCAAGAACTTTTTTGACGTAAATACGTGTATAAGGAAGGGTCATTCGGCAAAAAAGTGTAACCTGGTTACCTAGGGAACGTCGTGTTTACTCGGCATTGTTGTTACCTATAAAACATTACATTACTTTACATTACATTCAGCTACCACAGACCCATCTTAAGCGTAACTAATTAAAGTTAAATAAGCAATGTCTTAATCAAACTTATCTGACTTGTAAAGCATGTATAAAGGAAATATTTAGAATAAAGCCAATATATACACTTCCTTTCCGTAAAGACGTATTTACGTCAAATTCTCCGGAACCGTGGTTCCACTATCACTTTTTATGTTGAGTTTCGTTTGTTGTGTTTACGCGCACACTTCTTGAGAACTATTATACTAGTAACTGTGTGAGTACCTTTAACCACATTGCATTCAGATTTGATTCCATTGTCATCGGGCCCTGATGATGGAGACAACAAGGGCTTCTGAATCTAGGTAAACTTCTACCAAACTATATGCTGCAACAACACAGGAGACAGCCATCTTCATACGCATTTTGGTTTGAACTTTAAATTTCTAGAAAAGCTGAACAATTTATGAAAGAAATACAGTCATTGCTGCCATATGAATTATGAACGTAAATTGATAAATCTCTGTGTTGAATGGTGCATGTCTATGTGGGGTTTATGTGTGACACATTCTTATTCTGTGCTTGGTAAGGGTAGTTGTTGGTGTTTATGTTAAAGGTCATTGGAGCATCTAAATCAAGTGGTCGTAAAAAGGATGAGGATATTGATACATCACCACTTCTTCAGAGCAACAACTTGAAACACCAGCGATTAATTGATGAGCAGAAACTGAAGGTATTTTTATAATGCTGTTCACATTTTGCCTTAATAAGATGAAAGATTACAAATTATAAATTTACATTCTGCGATATGGCATTTTTTTCAGGTTTTAAAGTGGAATTTCACTACTCCAAGAGAAGAATTTGTGGATTTGCTGAAGGATCAAATGACAGTTGCAAATGTAAATAAGACATTATTGACATATATGTTCCATTCAGACTTTAAATTCCATCTTAAAGCCATTGATTCACTAAGTGAGGTAAGTAAGGCTTCATCATAAGTGTGAAATTTGACATTGCAGTATCATCCAGTTCTGGCTATAAAATATGAGATTGCTTGTTTATTATTGACTGATGAGTCATGAAATGTGGTCACCTGTGTTATATATTGGATGATATGTAAAATTGTGTGGTCTGTAAATATGGAAGATCTTATATTAAAGTGTGGAATTTTACATTGGGGATGCGTTCCTGGATGAACCGGCATAAACGGAATTGGCGTAAATTGAAACTCTTTCATAATGCAAATCCATGGGAAGTCAAAATGACATGCACTTCCAGCACCCAAACATCGACAAGTAATATAATGGCATTATGTTTAAAGCTCTGAAATAACGTAAATAAAATAAAGGGAATTTAAGAAATGTATCTTATACACTTACAATCGGAAATTCGTTGGTCCCCGCGATTCACTGCGATTCTTTCATGTGATTGATGTGTGCAGTCATCTCTGCTGTTATGCGATAGTTGCATTCATGTAAGACGCCGACCTATAAAAAATCGCGTAGTAAAAATAACCCATGTACCTCCGCAGAGATTAAATTAGTACTTTGAAAGTTTAAAGTGCCAGGAATGAAATTGCATAAGAGCAAACTCACATATGCAAAAGTTTGCATTTCACAAACACCTTTTACTGATTCATCGATTTCATTGGAGCAAATTCACGTTAATGAAACATATGTAATTGTAGAGGTGACTGTTTATAATTTTTATTCAAAATCACTGATGTAAGAATTATGATTTAGTATAAGAATCAGTACAAGATACATTGTAAAACATTATAAATAATAGTTTTTGTTGTTGTTGTTTTGTTTTTTCCTTTCTTTTCTTCCCCCTTCACTTTTTGACTTGCTGGTTTCAAAAGTGGTGTTATTCTGAATCGGCACAAATCAAGAGCTACCTGTGTGTGTGTGTTTGTCTATATATATATATACACACACACACACTACAGTAAACTGGGATATAGCAAAATATACATCCACTGTCTGTTGTGCTGTGCAGGAAGCTTACTTTATCACTGTACAGGATCCATGCTAATGAGAAACTAGATTCTTAGTAGTTTTCACTAAGAAAACATCCACTTGACTATTTCACCTAGTGTAGCTTATTGCAATATTGTGCCAATCTCTGGGTGATGAACTTCATGTTAATTGCTCTCAAAATGAATTGTACAAAGTTCCCAAAGAGGAAGTGTCTTTACATTTGTCTTGTGGAGCAGAGGTAAATATGCATAGTTGATGAAAAACCTGTCTTTCCTTACAACGTATTGGTCATGTGCCATCCTGAATTAGTATAAAAGGCCACATTTTTATGTGTACAGTTTTAAATGGGTGATTAAATAACTTTGTGCATAAAATTAATTTTAAAATTGTTTAGCATTTAAAGTTTATTGCAGTGATGATGTTCCATTTGAATTTCAGGACTTGCCCAATAACGAAAGTGCAACAGTTGCCAATTTGGATTTGATTTTGAAGTGGTTGACTCTGCGATTCTTCGACACTAATCCATCAGTATTATTGAAAGGACTTGAGTATTTGCAGACTGTGTTTACCATGTTGATTACAGAGGGATATAACATGTTTGATAATGAGGCCTCATCTTTTATTCCATATCTCATTCTGAAGGTGAGACATTCAGTAATTTTTTTCTTCTTCATATTTATTTAAATTATCTCTTTGAAAATTTTTACATTGCTACAGCTTCAGCTTGCAGTTTAGTAAAATAATATCAGTGTTTGTGGGTACATAATTGTTTTTGAGATCACACAAATCTGATTGAACGTCGTGTAAAGTAGGGTGATATTACTCAATGCAAAAAAAAATTTGTTGTCAGTTCTTGGTGTAGGATGCCAACACTGAATTTTTCTGAAATCCACCTGTAGTTTGTCAGAAATGAAATCTGTGGATATGCAAATGAACAGATATGACTTCCCCATTACATGTTTATTTTATACACGTCTTCCAAATGTTGCATAATAATGGAGCATACTTTGGGTATTTATAGATTGGAGATCCTAAGGATGCTGTTCGGAATGGTGTCCGAGCACTGTTCAGGCAGATGGAACAAGTGTATCCAGCTACAAAACTCTTCGTGTATGTGATGGAAGGTTTGAAGTCAAAAAATGCCAGACAGCGCACTGGTGAGTAATTTTTTAAGTAAAGGGTCATAATTTGTGCCCAAATTGTAAAAGTACCCTAAAGTAGAAAACAGAAAACGTTCTGAAATTTTCTTAAAAATTTATGCACTTAAGCTTTTTCTTTTGTTCTTTAAATGAAAAATTATATTTGCTTTTTTTAAAGTGTAATTAATCAGTTATAAAATTTTATTGTTCTGTAGGGTTTGATTTGAGCTTTGTGTGAAATAAGCTATGTTATGATTTATAATTTTGTAATTGAACATTTTATATTTTGGTGACACTAATGATTGGAATTTTTCATTCTTCAGAATGTCTTGAGCAACTTGGATCACTTATTGAAAACTATGGAGTGACAGTTTGCCACCCTAGTCCCAGTGCTGCACTGAAAGAAATAGCTCGCCAGATTTCAGACCGTGACAATTCTGTGAGAAATGCAGCACTGAACTGTGTAGTACAAGCATATTTCATAGAACAAGATAAAGTATACAAAATGATTGGACAGGTAATTTACATTTTTACATTGTCATTTTGTCACTACAGACAACAATTCTTCCATCAATATATTTTTCTTTTGCAATACTACTTTGGTTAGTTATCATTTATTAAGTTGAGGTATTGAGACCGTGTTATATGAGATGACTCCTATGAAGGCGCATACTCTGATTTTGCCATCATGAAAAGTGTGTTCATGAATGTCAGATCACCTGCAAGGTGCATGAGGTTTTCATATTCACCACTTGTGTTCGCTCTCTTTTAGTACCTTGATTAAATGAGTTGTAGTTTGGGCATTGTCTTTGCACATGCTATCTAAAAATATATAGCTTAAATATACAAAACTATAGTTTTATCTGCTATTTTGTACGAATGTGAAACTTGGTATGAGGTATATTTGATCTTATAGTGGTTGGTTATCACGATACTGACAGATTTTGTTACTTATTTGATATTAGTGGCAACAGTTGGGAGTGAAACTGTGTTTTTTTTAATAATAGAGTAGTACTAACCATTAGACCATTGGGAATACCCAGAAGATGCAGTAGAGCAAACACCTGAGAACGTGAAAGTCATCTCAGTTCGTAGATATGCCTAACATAATTTTCTTATAATGATCTACCATTGTCACAAATTGTTTACAAATTAGTTTTATTTTGTTTGTTCTCCTAGTACCAGAGTCCTTATATGTTATTTATTTAATATAGGTGAAATATTATGACTTGTACTTTTGTAGATCTCAGACAAAGATTTGTCTCTACTAGAAGAACGTATCAAGCGAGCTGCAAAAAACAAGGTCACACGAGCTCCAAACGTATCTAAACAGCAACAGCAGCAGTTGCAACAACCCCAGCCTCAGAAGATGGTGCGTCAGGGAAGTGAAGGCACCATCAAAAAGGAAACAATTGAAAGAGAAGAATCTCCACCACCTCCCCCACCAACAATGAGGTACATCCCTTTACATAATTTATTGAACCATGTATGTAGTTGCGTCCCTCTTCGGACTGGCGATACGGATGCGCGCTGGTTCAAGTCTCGGGGGAGAAGAAATTTTCTCATGAGCTTTTGACCAGTGTATGGGACCGGTGCCATCCCAGCATCGTGAGGAAATTGGGGAGCTACAATGAGTAGCGTAATCCGGTCAGGAAAGCTAGCAATGGCTGGGGGTTTGTCGTGCTGACCACACGTCACCCTATATCTGGCTGGATGATCGTTCACCTCTGCTTAGGCATGTGAACGTGAGGCCAGCACTCAAGCTAGTCGGCTTTGGCTCTCTGGAGCTGTTAAGCCACGGATTTAATTTAATTTTTAATTAATAACATTGTTCAGTTTTTAGTAGTGCTTATGGTGAAGTAATATTCTATTCTTTATTATGTGAAAGTTTTTATTCTTCTTATTTTATAGGAGTACTGTACCAAAACCAAGGCCAATCTCAACAGGGCCATTTGGCTTGGACATCAATTTGCTGGAACGTATTGAGGGGCATGGAGTGAATTTAAATGCTCCTAAACTTGCAGAATTTGATTTACATGATATTATTGATGATACTCCTGTGAGCATACCAAATGTGAATACAGGGTAAGTCATTACATGTGCTACTGCCAAATAGCAGGTAAACTGTTAAAACTATTGTGAGATGCATCTGATACCCTTATGTAGAGGCATCGTGATACAAATGTTAAAATTGTCCCATAAAATAGGACACTTTTGTGCAGTGTTCTGTGGCAAATAATCTTGCATTCTGTTTCATGTCATTAAATCAGGAACAGTAAGTGAAAGAGGTTTAAGAAGTGCACAAATTTGCATGATGATACTGTTTCACAAATAATGTGTGCTACCTCTGTCTTATTTTATAAGTAATTGCTACTAGAGTAGAAATATAATAATTGTTGGCTTCTTTTAATGTCAGTAATTTATGAGGGGAGTATAATTGAATGTATCCGTTGCTTCTCTTTAATTTGTTTCTAGTACAGTAAGTTATGGTTTAATGGGGCTAGATCCTTTACACCTGTATTACAACCCTCTGGACCCATTCTACTCAAGGTATGGCAAGTATTGGGTTGAAATTGCATGCACCACACATTGATTACAATGTGTTATCACACTCATGCATCCTGTTATGTATATTTATATGAAAGTATATAAATAACAAATTTTGTAGCCATCTCACTTCACGATATTGAAAGCTTTGATATTCTTTGAAGGCAACATGTTTTAGCCTCAGTGGGCGAACTTCAGGCTGTATATATGATCTAGAAGCAGAGTGTTATGACATTTGTGTAGGTAATTGCAAGTGTAACTGTTTTCTTATTTTGTGTGTGAGTGTTAAAACTTACCAGATTCAATTATAAATTAGAATCAAAGTTTATGAAATATATATATAAACTTGGAGGGTGGGCATGTGTGTGTGTGTGCGGGTGCATGTATGTGTGTGTACATATTTTGTTCTGCCATTTGTCATCAATGTTGGGTTCCTAATAAGCACACTCCTTTGTTCATGACTTTTTGTTTTGTTCATTTCATGTATGTAATTCCATTGTGCAGAGATTTCTTTCTTTGTGTGATGTCAGTGAAAAACAATTCATGACATACTCACAGCATTTGAAGTGGATCTGTTGCACTTTCTTTTAGTAATTCATAGTTGTTGTCAAATCAAAAAAAGATAAGTCTGAAATTGATTCTTTTATCCTGTCATAGGTAGTCATTGTCACTATGGAGGTCTAGAAGATTTAGTTGTAAGCAAAGCACCATTACTTTACATTTAAATTTGTAAGGTGTTCTTAGTGTGTTGCAGTTTATTGGAGGAAATTGGTATAATCTATTCTTTGTTCTGTGGTTTAACAGAATTAATTTGTAATACAAACTTAATTTAAATTACCTTTACATTTGCAGACAATGTTTCTGTTGGGTTAGTTTGTACTCTGCAGTCTGATTTAAAATCATTAATTTGTTATTTTTCTGGTTCTTATATAATTATGAAATGCTGAGGGGGGTTTTTCTTTATAATTTGATAATTCATTTATATAAACATAAAAGCTAACACATATTGTGAAGTTAGCTGTATGTTGGAAACAAAATATCTGAATTTATCAGAGTCAGTTTGTTAGTTATTTTTATTAATTTATCATATCAGATATGGCTGTTTAAATTTTATGGTTTGTGATTTTGTTTTGTTTAGTTATCCAACTCTGTCACCACCACCAGTATTACAACCTTACCAACTCAAGCTTTTACATAACTTGGATGAGAAGACAGACATGTTACTGGATTCCTGCATACCTAACATTGCCTGCCCTGATATAAGGCTGGCAATCCAAACTGCCATCCAGCTGGACACATTGCTACAGACGGATAAGGCAATGAAATTGGATAGAAAAGTAGACCAAGTGATACTGGGGTGTGTCATGCAACTTCGATTGCTGACCTCAGACCACCGTGTGGGCACTCCCAGAGGAGACGTTACGAGGGCATTCCGAGTCCTTTTTATGTTGCTGATGTCGGTGAGTGAAAGCATAAGAGGGAAAGGCAGTTTTGTTTACCTCAGAATTTATGTTGGCAGTAGGCAGAATATGAAACCCCATTTGCATGGCTTTTCCATTGACAAAATGCACCAAAGAAAACCACAGTAGAAGGCAGTCAAATATTGATGATGAATGCTGATGTATTGATGTAGCATACAAACCAGCTTGTAGTTTTTATTTGAAATACTCATTTCCACTTTGCAAAATGGAAGCAAGAATTCATTTAGAGGTTATTTTTTACAGTTCAGTACTTACAGTATGTAGTTTCTGTAGACCTTTTAATGTATCGTGCTGTGTTAATAAATTTGTTATGAAGAACAAAGAATGAACATGTTCTGGAAATTCCAAAAAGCATTTTCTCAAATGTGAAATGATTCTGATGCTTGTTTATAGTATTTTATCATACTCATTTTGGACAGAGTTATTTACAGGTCAGTTTTTAATATATCAAAACATTTTTTTTGCAGTTTTATAGCAATAGCACCCTCTCTCGTCAAGTCTCAAAAGATGTATTATGTGATCTCATTGAGCAACTAATCAGTCTGTTGGTAAATAAGCATATGGAACAGTTAGAGAGTGGAGAGTCATATGTTCGAATTATCAACACATTGGTAGTGCGCATTATTGAGCGTTCTGATCACACAAATATCACATGGTAAGTATAATATTTCATTAATACATAATAAAAATGACATACTCATCATGAATCAGGTTCACTTCTTCTTCATATGTGTATTCAACCAATATGTTCATCTGGAATCTTGGGTCCCTCACATCAAAAGTGCTCAATTAGGAGCTGACAGCTGCCCTACCCTACTCTTGATATTCATGGGGATACAAATAGTCAACAGGTGAGCATCATTTGAATCCCCTGCATTTTTATTCACTGTGTACAGTAAAACCTCATTCACATTCTCTGGATATATGTTTTCCTGTAATTACATTTTTTCAGTCCCATTAATTTGTTCACCATTTCAGGGGCTTTAGTTCCCACAAAATATGAGTAGCTCTAATGATGGAAGCAGTTAGCTCATCTGAAACATGGTCATTATCTATCAGACTGCATTGTTCATCATCCCAGGGGACCACCACAATCATTTATTTCTAACTTCATGCTCTGATTTACAGCGCTCTGATCAAACTCCTGTACGAGAGTGCAGGAAATTCCACGTCATCACCTCGATTTATGGATCTTGTAATGAAGTGCCTGTGGAAAGTTGTGAAGATGTTTCCTCTTTGGGAAGCAGAGACTGACTTTGATATAGTCCTCTGTGACATTCACATGTTTCTGAAGGTTGGTTGGATGTTGTGCATTCCCACACAATCTATTAAAGTCTGTTGAGCTCGTCTTTTCGAGTTCTTTATATATAAATATAGTGTCATTGCATTGTATGGTTTCCAGTAACTTGACTAAGAGACAGCTGCTGGTTTTATTCTGTATAGTCTTTGCTACCTCCATCATCAGATGATGGAGGCAGCAAGGATCTCTGAAACGTCAGTAAACTTCTACCAGACTACACGGCGCAACAACCCAGAAAACAGCTGTCTTCTTTACTGTAGTTATTGCTCATAGTCTCTTGAAAAATTGAGATTATTAGAACTTTTCAAAGTTAATTAATGCATGATTACTTGTAAACTTGTGTAATTCATGCATTAATTTTTTGTGAGATAAATTGATTCAGGTGTTCGTATGCATTTGTTAAGCAGACGATCTCACATTGAATGAGAAAATGGGTTTAGAAATTCTCCTGGAAAGGGTTGGCATTTCAGTTGTTACTTGTACAATTTTTCTTTGCAGTTATACTTATACATTTGTTATGTTCTTATTTTGCCCATGTTTTCTACAGGATTTTCCTTCGGCATCATGGAAGAAGCGGCCATCAGATACTCCAGTGCGAACAATCAAGACCATTCTGCACCGCATGACAAAGATCAAGGGCAATAGAATTTTATTGCATCTCAGTAGGATTGAAAATCTTAATGAGTCAGAGTTGCAGTCTTACCTCGTGAAGCTGATCAAGGTTTGTGCTGAAAGAAAGGCCATACTTTCTGGTACCTGCATATACAAAGCTAGCATGGAACACTGCAGCCATAACCACGTCCTTCCATATTCTTTCTAGTTCATTAATCATGCTACCATTTGACACTGTATAGTCTGAGCTACTGATACTATTGTTAAATAAACCACAAACAAATACAGTCAGCATACTCAAAATTTCCTTTAAATAATGCTGAGTGAGTTTTATTTTATTGCTGTCATTTAGAATGTTTATCATTTATATTAAAGATTGGTTGAATTTTTTATGCAAGTAAAGTGTCACAAATACAGAGACTCTTAAAGTGGAATTCCATATATTAATTCATCAATCTTTATAATATTCTGATAAAGTAAAAATATATTGTTGGATTTGAGATTTTTGTGGCGGTGGTACCAGACTACATGGTGCAAGAACCCAGAAGACAGCCATCTTAAAATTATGTTATTAATGTAAAGGCCTTATAGTTCTAAGTGATTTTACTTTAAATTTGGCATGTGTGTTCCTATGATGTGCATGCCTTAAAATCAGTATGATCTGTAGATTAACTTGTATCTTCCACGTATCAACTGCATCAGTATTAATGGATTAAAAGTTCAAAATGTAACATGGACATAGATGCACTTGGACACCTGTAACATTTTTATATTTTTGATGCCTGTTAGCCATTTACAAGCTCGTTTTTAATAGTAAGGGCTATTTTCGGAAAAACCGAAATGGAAAAGATACGTTATATTAGAGCAGTTTCAATATACTACTCATTACTTTGAGTACTATAATAATAAAAATGCTAGTTATTTATGAAATTGTTTGCTGCATATTTTGAGAGTCATTGGTCTGTTTTTTTCATAACAGAAAATAAAATAAAATCCTTCAGTTTTGACATGACTTGTAGTAAATGTAACTCACATGTTTGTTTTAGACTGTGAAGCATGATTCCAGTCCCCCAAAGAAGGAATCTAAATCACAGCATCGGCTATCAAAAACTACGCATGAGCTTTTGTCAGATATATTTAAGAAAATTGGGTCCAAGGATCAAACAAAAGAGGTGTGTATTCATGTATATAGCGATATAATTTATTTCTTTAACATGGTTACCATACATCAGTATTTGATTCTTTTGATAGAGGTAATAAAGTTGGTTTTTAAATATGATCTTCAGGTAGTTTGCCTTTACTTTTTTCAATTTTATTTTCTGTACTTGGATGTTCTTTAATGTCTAGCTTATCATAAAATCAAATCATATTTTCTCCTAATTGTTTCTGAAAGATAATTTAAGGGGAGTTTGTGAATACCAAAATATTTAAACTTAATTCAGTGTGGCTTATCCCCAGAGCTGAAATTATACAATAAACTCCGGCCATGAAAACAAAAGGACAAGAATTTTCATGTCAGTCACTGCAATAAAACTGTGGAAAACATTTGTATTAAATTCATTCATTATGAGTGTATGAATATGGGTTGCTACACCTTATTTGATGTGTGTTCATAAATAATGCTGTGGTCTATGATGTTTTAGGGTTTGTCACTTCTGTATGACTTCAAACAGCAGCATCCAGAAGCTGATATTGAGCCTTTCCTTCGCAAATCTTCACAGTTTTTCCAAGAGTACATTCAAAAAGGACTGCATATGATTGATATGGACAGGAGAAAAGCCGGAAAGCAAGTAGTACACCCAGCTACAGCTCCCCTGACATCTACATCAAGTATGAGTTCCTTAGGCATGTGTCTTTATTGTACTTTGTCCTGCATATAGTTGTTCATAAAATAGAGTGACCTTTGTGGGTTATAGAATCACCTAGTAATGTTGTCAACATAGTGAGATGTAGAGAATCAAGTGGGCTGGGCATGTAGCTAGAATGGGGGGAGGAAAATGAATACACAGAATATGGCTAGAAAATCTCTTACAAAGTTGCATGAAAATTTGTAATTTATTTAAAGTATTTTTGAGGAGAGGCACGTGTAATGTAAATGTCACATTTTCTTAAATGTAAGGAAAAATATGCTGAAATGATCGGAAAAAATAGTGACTGTGTTAAAGTTAATTTTCAGAATTAGTAACAGGTCGACTGGCGGGGGCGGGGGGGGGGGGGGGGGGGGATAATATAGATCATGCCATCCATTTTGAAGTGATATTAGTTAATCATGTTAAACTTTATTTTATAGGAATAATGGACTCCAATCCAGTGACACCTCAGAATGAAGTTGGTGAACCTAGTTTACAAAATCCGAATTCAGTATATGTGGATCAGCATCGATCAGTGAAGACTCGTGTTGGAATAGATAGTGGTGAGGACTCAGATTCAAGCTCGGGCTCAAAGAATGCTCTCTATTATTTGAAGAGGCTACGAGCATTACAAGAGCAGGCAGGCCATGATCCATCAGCCGTCCTCCTCGAATCCAAACAGCAAGTTTCACAGGATAAAGATGACAATGTTGTAAATGATGAGAATCTCAACAAGAAGTCAGTTCTTTATGACATGCCTGAAAGGGTTAGTTTTTGTTTCTACAACATGTTGCACTTTCAGAACTTAATGAACTCTGCAGTTACAACAAATTCCCCATTTTAATATTTCTGTGGTGAACAGTATATTTCAGTACTAAACTGATAGAAACATTAAATGGGTGGAATTTAGTGTCCACTTAATGAGGCTGGGACTACATTGAGAAGTATTAAATGTGGATTTACTGTATTTGTTACTTGTTGTCCAGTGAAAAATTATAGTAGCAAGTAAAAATCTGTCCAGATAAGTGGCAGACTGGTGTTAGGTGCTTAGCTTCTACAGTTGTGATTGTGATATGCCTGTTTCTCTGGAAATTTGGATTTTATTTTTATTTTTCGCCCTCCCAGTTTTGAAGTTTCTTCTCTTAATGTGGACAAATAGATTTAGGTGAAGAATAGCTTTATCTGTTACAGGTGCAGCCAGTTCAGTGCATTACGAGTAACAGTGGATTTTCCGAAGTAGATGCCTTGCGTAGACGTCTGGAAGTGGTAAAAGGTTCAGCAAGATAAAGCCAGTAGGTCTATGATATGACCACCAGCCTTCTGTCCCCCTGATTTGCTTTGGTAGCATTTGGCATGAACCCAGGATATCCATATCAGGCTTTTATCACTGCAGTTACACGCTTGTTTTAGACCTTGTTTGCTCCTCATTAATTAGTTTTGTCAGAGTTTTAAGTTGATACTGCATTACATAAGACACTAAGCATTTATAGTACTTAACGTAATATAGTAGTCATCCATTTGTTTTAAGTGATTAATATTGTATTGAAGGGCATTTTTTCACATTTTCCAATTGGTTGCAAATCAGACATTTTAACGTTACTAAAATGATAATACTTTTAAAATTATTTTTACTCATAATAACAGCAGAAAGACTGATATGTGATCAGGTGACAACTATAAGCAAATTTTGAGCTTTACTTGCTACCTGAGAGGATGGTTTGCTTGTAACTTTAGTGATGGAAATTGTGTGACTTGATATTTTATTGTAATAAGGTTGGTGGCACCAGGTATTTATAAATGTATGCAAGAATAGTTGAGTTAAACATAAAAACAAAGTATGCATGTAAGGAGTGTAGTTTTCCCTTGCAGTTACAAGTACGAGGTGTGTTCAAAATGTACTGGACCTTAATTTTTCCCACGGAAACAAATGAAGCACGGGAGGTGTCCTCGGGTTGGGGGGTGTAGGGGATCTTCATGCACATGCGTGAATTTTTTCCCGCCTGCAGAGAGTGGCAGTCAGCCTGCGAGCGAGTGAGTGACTAGTGAACGCCCGCCCATCGGATTTTCAATTACCGCGAATCAAGTCCCTTTCAGCGGCATTTTCAGCTTGGGGAACAGCCAAAAATCACAAGGAGCCATGTCAGGAGAGTAGGGAGCCTGACGAACCAGAGGAATGTTGTGTTTGGCCAAGAAAGCCTGAATCAGATGCGAAGAATGGGCGGGTGTGTTGTAATGATGGAGCTGCCAAGTTCCTGCTGCCCACACATCCGGTCGTTTGCGCCGCACAGTATCACGAAGGCGATGGATGACCTCGTCATTTCAACTTGTTGAGGGCCTACCGGAACGTGGTTCACTCTCCACTGACGTGCGGCCATCTCTGAAGCGATTGTACCACTCCTTAATTCTTGTGATGCTCATGGCATCATTGCCAAAAGCCTGCTGAATCTTCCGAATGGTTTCCACTTGGAAATCGCCAAGCTTTTGGTAAAATTTGATGCAATACCGCTGCTCAAGTCGTTCCATCATTTCGCAGTAAATGAAAATCTGACGGGGGTTCACTACACTCACTCACAGGCTGACTGACGCTTTCTGCGGGCAGGAAAACATTCACACATGGGCATGAAGGTTCACCTCCCATGCTTCATTTGTTTCTGTGGGAAAAATTAAGGTCAGATACATTTTGAACAGACCTTGTATTATGACAGCTAGTTGAAACATAGCAACGTGTAAAGGGTTTCCCTTTTACAACATTTAAATCATCATGGCTCTGGTAATGACTTCCTTAACAGGGCTGTTTGAAAATGACTGCTTTTGTATTCAGTACTGTATACCATTGTGTTTGTTGCATACTGATTATTGTACCAAAATGAGAATTTATTTTTAAGTTGCATTAAAAAAACTGTTCACTTAGATTCATTTACACATTTTATGAAAATGCAGCTTGCATCTTCAGTCATCATTTGTTTTTTTATGTAGATGACATTTTAATGGCTTTTTCTAAATATCTTTGGGCCCTTGCATTGGAATTCTTTGATTTTTAAATATTAAAAAACCTGATAAATAGCTGTAAATGATGGAGGATGTAAACAGTACAGAACCATTGATATTGACACAGTATTCCTACATACTTTTTAATACTGAAAAGAAAATGGGTTGTTGCTATATTGACAATGTGGTTGACAAAATGAGAAACAAAATAGAGTACAGTAATAAGCAGTTCTTTCTCTATCCAGGGGTGTAAATAAGGAGATTTGTTAAGGCACTTCATATTTCATAAATGTTTACCTTGTAATGAAAGCATATTTTTAACCTATAGTAATTGGCTGTTCATGGTGTGTTGACAAGGAACTATTAGTGCTGTAGCTAAGTGTAATTAATTTATTGGTTCGACGATCCACCAATTCTTAAAAAAAGTCTTTACATTCTGACTTCATATAAATCCACTCCACTTAAAAATAAACAATATAGAAAGTGAAGATGACTTCTGGAATGTTGTAATGTAATCTGGTAGTTTACTGGCATTTCAGAGGTGCAGGTAAACTACCTGACTACGCAGCGTAGCATCCCAGAAGACACGTCATCTTCATACTCTGCCACGAACCCAAAATCTCACCAATACAGAATGTGTTTGGCTCATGTTTTGGACTTTGTCCATTGTACCAGTTTTTTTAAACTTGTTTCTTTGGATTTTTTAAATTGTTGAAAATAGTCAATTTCCAAAATCGTGCATTTTAAAACTATTACAATGGGCAAAATCCCAAAGATGAGTTACAAACATTGTCTTACACCATTATTGGAATTCTTTTGATATAAAATGTCAGGAAAGTGAAAGAAAGGTAGTTTCAACAGATCACAAACAATTTTAATTTATATTTGATGCTAAACAAAATCAGTTTGCTTTAGTTGCATTTTTTAACCCTGGATGTATACATAACTCTTTCTGCAGGATAATGATAAATTCCAAAGGAACCCAGTCTGGAGCTACATCTTACATGTACAGGAAGCAAGAACATGGCTAGTTAGGCATCTTGGTGCACTAGAATTTATTGTAAACAAGCTGAAATTATCTGTGGGTTCTACATGGATGAAGTTACATTGACATTGACTTATTGAGCATGGGTGATCTGTGTAATTGGATGCGTTCTCACCGGATCCATGTGTGCAAAGCATTGGAGGTTATCAGCTACGAGGATGTGACATGTGCCTGATGTCTTCTTCCACTGCCCAGTGGAGAGGCTAATCAATGTCTGCTGTGAAAATTTCTTGTCTTGGGAAAGCTATCTTACAAGAACACGTATTTTTCGTGTCCATTTAACCTTGAAGATGATTCGTTTTCTGGGATGGTGCGCTGTTTAGTCTGTAGAAGTTTACTGACTTTTTTCATTATCAGGGTTATGATGGAGGCATCAGCAAACTTCTACCAAACTATACAGTGCAACATCCCAGACGACAGCCATCTTCATACTGACTACCATGAGAATCTGATATCTCACACATTTATCCTTCTTTTTTCATGTCTTGATGTCTTAATCAGATCTCAGCTGCACAAACAGATTAATAAAGAACAGGCAGGTATACACACTGTTTAATATATAATTCTCAACTAGTAATAAAGTTTCTAGTGTAAGAGTAATGTGTGAATGTAAGATAAAATAAACATTAATAAAAATTTGCTGACATTCTTTACCCCCATTCCTCAAATTTATTTTCACATTTCCTTCCCAAAATAATGTAGGAGATACTTAAAATCTGATAAATATGAAGTTCAGGTTTCCCCTGACAGTGAACAAAAATTTCTATGTTTGGTTTCCTATAACAAGTGAGTGGAAACCTCTTTGATGTTCTCTCACTTCTTCCCCATGTCCTCCATTTTGAGTTACACTTTTAACAGGAGTTGTGGTGGTCTTAACATAATGTGACTTGCACTCAGGGAAAAAAATTATTTTAAGAGCTTTGATGCTGCTTATAAATGAGACATTAATTTTATTTACTTCTTAAAATCAAGTCCAGCTTATATACACATGTGACTTGTATTCATTTGTGAAAATCAAGATGTGACTAGATAAACATTAATGATCAGATTTCTTCTTGTGCTTTTTCTTTTTGGAAGGTTTCTCAAACAGTTCTTCCTCAGTTGGCCGCTTCTCACCACTGAAAACTCAAAACCGTTATTTTCTTACAATGTAAGCACTGCATGTTACTTCATGAACATATGTTTATGTAACTAAAAACCATAAAAGGTAAAGTGAAACACCTATTTATATTTCAAGGGAACTAGATAAAAATAATAATTGACTAATCTTGCATATGAGAACATAGGAAGTAATCGATAAAGTAGATTATTTTTTAAATTAACATACTGATATGTCACCTTTTGACAGAAATAATATTTTTCTGTTTCTTTCCTGATGAACCCAATGCTTGTAACCATTCTTCTTCTGAACCTTTAATTGCATATTGACTGAGGTTTTCACTTTTGAGTTTTTTCAGCTCCTGTTGCTGTTTGAGCTTCAGTTCCTGCAATACAGAAGTCCTGTACATATTACTCCCCATAATATTACCCAAAGCACATGGAGGGGCTAATTTGCTACCAATTACCTTTGCTGCCTCCTCTAACTCATCATGCATGCTCTTGGCAACGGGGTTGAATGTGACGTCAGTTCTTGATCGGACTAGACCCTGTTCTATGGAGTGTTCCAGAATGCCTGTTAAATACTGAACACATCGACGAATCGTTCGGTTGAAGAGGCCCAAGAGTTGTGATGCTGGTAGCTCCAACTCTGATGCAAGATTATCCACAGTTTTGTATTGCAGGCCTAGGCCAAGAACAATTGCCTAAAATGGAATAAGATTATGTATGAATCTGCTTTGTGTGATACATTTGGTATCTGGAATTTTTAAACAGAGTAAATTGTGCAGACATTGAGATAAATATCACTGTAAAATTCATTCAGAGATTTCACTGTGTTCAATCATCTTCATGCTTCAAATTTTTACTGAAAAACCTAATGATGTTTATTTTGTATTAAACATGTATAAACAACTAAACTGATATAAACATTTTCACTTTAGGATGATCCATTAAAGTAAAGCTCTTCACTGAAGTGAAAAGATATGTTTAGTGAACCTTTTCAAGACCTGGGATCACATTTGTCTTTCTTACTGCCAAATTGCCCATGCAACTTACTGACTGCACAGCAGAAAGGTGTGTACTGCCCATATGATTGAGGAAGTATAAATGAGCCAAGGTAGGTATCAAGTCCATGACCAAGTGGTAGTCTACTAGATTGTTACTGTACATCTCCAGCCGCTTCACATCATACTTGGTCAAGTATACATCAAGTTCCATCTTGCTTAGCACTGCACAAATAGAATATTTACTAGTAAGATCTATATAATACAGACTACGTGATTCACAGAAATGATGTTACAATGTATTAGGGAGACATTTAATCAAATCAAAAACCATGTCTTATCTTTTATTGTGAAGGTTTTAATAAAAAATAATCTTTTCAGCAATTATCAAACTCAGGAAAATACCAACATGCACTTCACCTGTATAGTAGATGGGGAAGATAATATGAGAATATTTCTTATAGAAAAAGTTTGGTGAAAGTGAGAATTGGAGTTCATGGCTCAGGATAAGACCCAGTTATGTATTTTTGTGACTGCAACGATGAAACTTTGTGTTCCACTACAACTGAGAAATTCCTGAACACATGAATAAGTATCAAATATTCAAAGAAGTTTGCACAAACCTGCTTGCTCTTGTTTCCAGGTCTTGTTTTGAAGCACACTAAGTGCAAGGATTGGTGTAAAGCTGCGGAACTGAAAACCTAACAAAGATATAAAGCGGCGCCTGAAGTCAGCCCAATATTCTGCAAGCCACGATCCCTTTTTGGCTTGGTCTGTTTCACCATCTCCACTGCTATATGAGTTGTCCAAAAGGTGCAGCATGATACATGAATGTTCACCTGTTAAGTCATTTGTTGTCTGCCTGTCACATATAAAGAACACGTCATTGATTATACTACGCTCGGAAGTATGGCAATACAGGTAGAGATCACAGAAGATGGACCAGATATAATGTACACATTGATATTTCATGGTGAGAAATTAGTATAGTTGTTGCCTATTTTAAATGTCAAGACTGAAATAACCTCACCTTAGCCACAGATCATTACCTCAAATAAACTGGAACAAACTCTGCTCTTTTCCAGAATTTAAGGAGAGGTGCTGTGAGCCCAAACGACACTCCAAGGTACTGAAGATGCTCTGGTGGTCTCTCGCTCAATTTTAAGAGAAGTGGAGGGAGAGATTTTCTTGGTTCTGCTGAAAACAATGTACAATTATAGTACAACTAAACAAACATTTGTATGAAATTTCAGAATTCCTTTAGGTTTTAGAATATTTGAAAATACAGCAGATGTTGGATGTTATAAATAACAGCAATAATATGAACATGGTTATAAAGAAAAATTTTGGGACTACATATGATATATAGTACAAGTCAGGATGTATGTTACCTATCCTTTCCTCCAAAAGGCCCACATTCTGATCTGTAACACACTCAATATGTTCTTGAGGCATCTGATCCTCCTCAACACTTGGAATCTTTAATTCATAATACTGCTTCAGCAAGGAGAGAGCTCTGCTACCATATCCCATCTGTAAATTGTAAAGCACTATAAGCAAAGATGGCATAATTATGAATATAATTCAAGCTTTTAGCTATGGATAAACCAGAACGTCTACAAAAATGATATCTGACATCAAAAGTTATTTGTAAATAGACTGGTATCACACACATGTATGTTGACTCTACATTAAAGCAGCCTTTACAATCATCTCTTGAGCTTCAAGGGAAGGTCATATGGACAACATATTATGTACAAGGACAAGTCAGAAACTACTTCTGTTTAAAAGACAATGTAAAGAAGACTTAAATGTCTGCTATCCTTTAAATTCCTCCATGCAGCCAATTGCGTCAATAAATTATTATGTAATTTCATACCCCCTGATAGTCTGGATGTGTCGCTATCCTTACTACCCTTGCACCAGACAGCATGGGGAAGTCATGATCTTGAAACTGCTGTGCCACAGTCCAGGGTATAAGATCACCTGATGCTCTTTTACCTCTTGACAAGCCATCCACTACAGAGTTCTTAGACACCTGACCTTCCAAGCAAACCTAATTAACGGTAAAATATATGTCACATCACAAAGACCTGTAATGTAATAACAGTAACAGGAGCACCACAGTTTTTATACAAGTACTGTTAATAAAAATAAATGTGGGCAGTGTTCAAGAAAACATCCAAATTCTTTCACTACATTCAATACACCAAGATCAAGAAATCTACTCTAGTAACAGACTATCACTTCAATATTATTTTTCTCTTATGTCTTACCATGTCCTAGTAGTATTTATTCTCCTAAACTCAGAGTGGCACAACTGTTTCAATAATTAACAATAAAATTTAATATGGTGTTTAATTGACAAAATCATATTTTAATAAAAACAGAAACAGAAACCTTTATGTAACATGATCTTTTGTAGTTTCTTTACATTATCCTGCATTCTTTCCCCTGATATGAAATTCTTCAGTAATACATTTTCCTCTACATAGTGATCAAATTGTAATGGCCATTAGTACTTGTTTTCCTCAATACTGTGTTTTACGTAGCAAGGTGAAGAAAATCACCTGGCAAAAACTGATGGTTTTATCCACATGAAGTTTAAATATTTAGTTCTAGGAAAATATTGTACAATTGTATTTTACTTGAAAAGCATTTTTAACTAGTTATTACTTTGTATAATGGTCCTTATTACAATTGAAGATTGTGCATTCCATTTAATATTTGTTGTCTGTATTCAATTATTCAGTATCTTACCTGAATAACTACAAGAACTTCTGGTAAAGATTTCTGATTTGGATCAACTGGCCCAAGCAAACAAAATAAATGATGTGCTGGGGCATCCGACATCATTTGAAGGTCATTTGGACTGTTCTGTAAACAAAAATTAACATTAATCAAGAGATAAAAAGACCACATGACAGGAATATCAGACTCAGTAGAAGAGTCTAAATTTACAATCCGTGTTCTAAACTTGGAACACTGTCAGAGTCACACAGAACACACTATGGAAATTTTTAAAATTAAACACCTGTGAGCTTTCTTTTTTCTTTTCTTTTTCTGTGGCATCTTGTAACTTGAGACCCAGTCAGTTTATTCAAATCAAATCTTATATTGAAGGTCCTTGCTTGCACACCTATCCCTTCAACCTCATTTTACTATATTTATTAGACAGAATTCATTCAGAGGCTGGCTATGGTGACAGGCTTTTTCATCTTCCTCAATCCCACCATCCAAATACTAGGATATCTTTAAATAGGTCATGACCATTTCCTTCTACATCCTTTCCAGTTCATCATTCACAGACATCCTATCATTTTATGTTATATAACCAATCTAGGTGTAAAAGTATTGTTAAATAACCATGTAATCAATCAATCAATCATTCTACCTGTACAGTATGTTTATGGTGAAGTATGTCACAATAAAACTAACCTTATAATGTGATGCAACATACAGTGCCACCAGACGCTGAAGAAAGGCCTCAGATGCTTTATGGAAACAGAACAGTGTATCCCTGAAACACAAATATGAACGTTCATAAACTCCAAAATCAGATAAAATCTGATAAAACATGTTCTCTTGTCAACCTGATGATGGACCTCTAAAACATTGGTAAACTTCTACCAGACTACACAGTGCTATAACCCAGAAAGCAGCCATCGTCACATTCTCTTTACATATCACTGTTGAGTGGATACTACTAGATCACATGTGTTTCTTAATTAGGACATAAATATTTGACAAATTTAATCTGTTCAATACACGATTAAATCAATTTTACTTTTATTTAAAACAGATTAATTTGAATATATATAAAATGTTTTACCTGTTAATATAGTACAGATCACAATTGTCTGGTGGAGGACATCCTGACAAGATAGGCTGCACTGACGTAGCATCTAGACACAGCAAATCATTCAGCCATTTCTCCACATTATCACCCGGATTGTATCGGATTGACTCATTCAGCACAACCTAATAAGGAGATACTTTCATGTACAGTGGTAGTATAGCAAATGTAAAATATAACGATAATGAAGTTTAACTTACTTCTTGTAAAACCCTTCCAGTGGCAGCTGAGTGAATCTTGTTTTTGTCAGCAGATACACCAATGGGAGCTGCCTGTGTACGCAGCTGCTGAAGTAATTTTAGGGACAGGGACCTGCCTGTACCCTCATACCTGGTTAAATATTGGTAATTTAATAACAAAATTAACATGAATTCTACAAAAGTATCCTTCATGTAAATCACAAATTCAGATGTTAATATATTTCCATTACTGTTCATTAGTATACGTTGCTTCCAATGGTAATGAAAATTGGTCTCTTCAGTATAATTATGGATATTAATTGTAAAAGTGCTGTCAAAGTAACAAGTACTCCAAAATACATATTACACATATTTTTACATCCATCTTTTTAAATCCCTTCAGTTATGGTTTTTCTGACATTCCTGGCCTCTGCTCACTGAGATTGGAATCAAGTTCTGAATGTGCCCCGTAGGACAGAATCCCATTTACTCCAAATTACATATTAAAATGTCAAATCATAATTTTCATGAAAGAGATACACATTCTAATACTAAATTACACTATCTTAAGTCCCACATAATCTACTGACCCATTGATTGTTGATGCCAGGAATACAAGGTATGGTCCCAACATGCTCTTAACATATGGTAAAGGAATGGCCGCTGCTTCATCAATGACAAGAAGTTCTGCTTGACCAAGCTTATGTGCATCAGTTGGATGTATGTACTGAAAAGAAAAAATGTGTGCTAAAAGTTACATTCAGAGATGGACCCTGGAAAAAAGCTGCGATGAATAAAAATGGATTGAACTATCTAAGTGTAAGATTCAACTATACGTAGTTTGTTTTTGTGTGATCATATCAATTATAATTTAAGCATGTATCTTGACAAATTTAAGAACATTTCAAGATGACAGAAACATTGACTTTTAGGGATTCAACAAATACAGCTCTTCTTTTCAGAACCTAATATTTGTTTACCTGAATAGTTTGCCGATGGTCTCTGAAAATGTTTACACGAACAATAGCCTTGTTAAACTCTGGATTTGTTGACTGGATGAGGTCATAATCCAAGTGTTCTTGGTACTCCAGTGCATCAAAACCTTAAAGTAAATAGTGCTATGTTAAAAGTCCAACTTCATAAGCATGGAATTAAATTATTGATACTACTTTGACTCTCTGAAAGTTCTGCCAATGATCCTATCACTGGTTGCCATACAGTCTGAGCTACTGACAGTATCATAAAATAACCACAAATACATTATAAAATGCAAACCTACTTCAACAATGGAATATGAAAAGTTATTGTGAATCTATTATTTTTACCTTTGAAAACAAATTCAAACAGAGTGGTCAGGTTCTCAGGGCTAGGGCTTGTAACAAAGATATTGGAATAGCCAAAAGCAACTGCTCCTGCCATTGCTAGCCCCAGAGCAGCTGATTTGCCTCTTCCTCGTGCAGCTGTCAGTGATACAGTAGATCTGAGGCTCTTCTCTGATACAGCCTCAATGAATTTCAGAAGAGCTTTAGCCTTAAAAAAATGTATGGAATTACAGTTGAATATGAGAAAGGAACAGATAAGTGAGTATCAATATATGAACTGGGGAAATTTAACACTTCGTTACCATGACCAGGTTTTCAGGCTATGCATGAATTACCAGGCCACTTCATAAATATCAAGTAACACATACAAAAGCAATCTCTGTGCCCAGTGTGATGTGCAATATTTTGACCACCATTTTGAGGAAGCATACTGTGTACATCATTGAGATTGAAGAAACTACATGGCACAAAAGACCATCATCTGTGAAGTTTGGTGATGTGATTTTAAGAAGTTAAAATTTTCTGTGATCGACCCAATCACATTGTCAGGGTGATGCCCAATCTTTGAAACAACAGTTAACAGTAAAATTTTGATACCTGATCCACAGTCTTACAGCAATTAACAAGAACACCAACTGGCTGTGTGTCCCGTAGACTTTCTTTCAAACTTCCCAGTTCCTGTTCATTTGGAGGGGGATCAGGTTTTCCCACTGGCTCTACCTGAAGATTATGAGATGAAAGGGGAAGCACAGTGAGCTGATCATCCACCACTAGGCATCGAGCACATAAGGCCAGAGACAGCAGAAACCTAAACAATAGTCAGTACAATTATATATCACCTTCCAATTGCTCAGACCAGATATGCTAAAAGGCATAATTTGCCAGACTCCTCAGGGGCTTGCTTTTCTGTGTGAGTACAAATTCCGTGTTTGCTTATTATATATTTTTGATGTTTTCAGTGAGTAAAATGTTATAACAGAACATATTATGTCACTTAAAAACAATATGTAGTGAAATATTTTGAGCTCTGAGAACCTTTATGTTTCTTTTGTCTAAGCTAATATGTAACCAAAAAAAAAAACATTTGGTTTCTCTTAAAATTTTAATGAAATTGTCCATCACTAGATAAAATGAAATGTGTTCATCCAATGTCTGAGCTTAAAAGTGGATATAAGAGTTCACCAGCAAACAGCAAGATCTTGATCATGCTTCTTAGCCACAGTAACATTTTCTAAGAACTTGATTTCAACATATTGAATGAAAATCCCAACAGGTAGTGGGTGCAACCAACATAATATGATATAAGAATTTGTTCGCACCGTTCATTGAAGCGTCCAACAACATCACCATGTGCTTCAGTACGATAGCGTTCATGAACATCCATGCTCATGGCATAAAGTTGTTTCAAAGAAGTCACTGTCTGCAGCAGAATAACAATTAGTCCTCCACCTTCAATTGTCTCAACTGTTCTTGCCAACAGGTTTGGAGTCAAAGCTTCAAAGTCTTGTAACACACACATACCATAAGTATTTCCAAGTATTTTGTGTGTTTCTGAATAGTAACAGTACCGAATGTTTGTAGATGCAACAAATAATTCAAATGGATCATCTTCATTTACATTTACTTTGCCTGTCTTTATTTTACGCTGGAGACTTTTCATCCTCTTTTTTCGATGGCTACTGAAGACAAGCTCTTTCTTATAGCACCACAATACATTCGGTCTTGCTTTAACACATGCTTTAGACAACATATGATGTAGAATAACAACCTGAAACAAAACAACAATGACATTTAAAAGGACTGCATTAATAATTTCTGCAGGTGATCATACAATGAAATGGTTTTCAACTGCTGATTCTGAATCAAAATCTCTTCATTGTATTCAACACACTATCAGTAGCACTAGTCAGTTCAAAATGTACACATGGAAATATATTGTACAAAAAGGTAAACTCACTGAAATAAATCCAGTTCCTCGGCTGTGAGACATTATGTTAAATTATAACCTTTCTGGCAATATGTAATACCAATAACATATACCCTACTCCATTAGAAAGCACTGCTCCCACCACACACAACATTCCACTGGTGTTGAATAAATTTAATGTTTTACAAGGACGTAAGATTTACAGTGGATAACTTTATGTAGTATAATGACTCAAACGTTATGGATACTTTGTCAGTTTATACATGCAGTGCTAAAGATAATAGTATGGTGGTACTGCTTTAGATCTATATTCACCGGGTACTCAATTTAAATCTCTGTCAGGTTACTGGCTAACCTTAGGTTTCCTTTTTTCCTGTCTCACTTGCAAATAAGTCACGACTGTCTGCTTCAAAATCCGTACCTAGTTATGAATCATGATCATCTTCCAATCACATTTATGCTATATAACGCTGCAGTTAACAGTGATCAAATAATCTACGAGCCCACTATTAACTGCAGGAACCAGTAAATATTAAACATACGAACTCTAAATACTGTATCACATTTGTCAATGCTACATAACCTTTGTATCATGTCGTTTTTAACCTAAAAAAACTGTTAATCTTTTCATAGCAAAGTAGTTTCCTCCTAATGATATGAATGAAATGTCGACTTACTTGATCTCGTCCTTTGCCTCCAACAACTACAAACAATGTTCGGTGACCCAGAGTCACACCATTTTCAATTAAAACTCTTATACGATTATCTATTTTCTTCCTAACCATTGTAAACTATTACAGATACAATACAACCACGTGTAAACTGCAGTGAATGTGGATTGTTTCGATATGTCGTTGCAGAGTTCGTAAGAATCACACACCATGATTTGAATCGACTACGGTTTGTAGCTGATGTTAACCATAGTTTCAGTTAATATCTGTTAACGTGTTCATGGTAGGCCATGAACTTACTCGGAAACCGTGGGGGATGAGCGATACAAATGGAAGACATTTCGAATCGAATATCCGTTTGGGAATTAAGCTGAGATGTAGTTTTTTGGCGGCGATACTGTCATCATCTTTTTTGGCTGGAAACTTGTATTCTCCTATATCTGTTTTGCGTGTGATGTCAAGAGGCTCGTAGCCGTAGATTTCAAATGAATAAAGCATTAATACATTTTTATTTCGCGCGCTGGGTGAGTCGAAATTTTGACGTTCGTGAAGCCGAGTTTTCGCTTGAAATTTTGGAAAGCCCATGTATTGTAATGGCCGGAGCACTTCACTTTTGTACATAAACTTAAATTTAATGTTCTATCGGCAAAGAGAACAGTTTGTGTTCGATATTTTGAAAATGCAGTCTCATTTAAGCTTCTGAATACATTTCTTCTGCCATGTCTTGAATTCGTTTACTTTTGCACGTATGCGAATTACATATTCATATTAAAAATACGGGGACCCTCAAATATGGAAACAGAGGAGAGACAAGAGCCACCTCCACCCCAACCAGTAGTTAAACAAGAAGTTGATGAAACTGCGGTTGAAAACAGTGAACAACATGTGGAGAGAGCAGAGAACGAAGTGAGTGAGGATGCTGCTCCAAGCCCCACAACAGGGGATGAACCGCCAAATAACCCTTGGAACTTTGTTAAATGTATATTTTGCCAACATACACTTGCTGCTGGGGACAATCCAAAACTGTTGGAGTGTCTGCACACTGCTTGTACTCCTTGTGTGTCATCTAAATTGGCTGAGCAAAATCAGCTGGATGGAGAAGTTGTTGGTGAGTGTCATATCCTTTGTCTGCATGATAATAACTTACTTTAAGGGCCAAAAGTAAATATAGGTATATGCCTATCTTTTGATTTTGCTAATGTTATATATAACTGTATATTCCATTTGCTTTCAATTTGTTTAAAGGTCCATAAATTATTACTGATGAACTGAATAGGCCTACATTTTTAGTGTATCTCACTAAATACTGACATCAAATGTTTCTTGATTAAGAGGTACATGATTCATAAGATACATGTTTTATGTCTCTTACAGTGTCTGTGTGAACCTTACTGATTTAGAGTGAAACACTAATGTAATAATACCATCTATTAACCCTTTATAGTCAAATGGTAACTATGTACCAACTGCTTTACCTATTAGTTACCCTGCATTTTATATTTATGGATTTTGTGAAGGAAACAGGTATTATTTTTTTAAATAGCATTGATATTTGTGATGATGAAGAGCTGTGTTACCTTTGCAGTACACACTGAACCATTAAATATTATTTAGGTGAATTTTGGCATCAGAAGGGTTAAGTATGCATCATGGGAAGCATAGTCTATCTTTGTGTCATCTCCCATTTATGTAGATGGATGGATTGATGGACTGATGGTTAGACATGCTCGCATCAAATAGATCCTAGACAGAAGGGTGTAGGACAAGTCAGATCTCAGTCTATTACATTCATAGAATATGTAGAAGTTACCCATCAGTTCAACATTATACTTAACAAACAGACAGAATTTCACCATGCCCAAAACAGCATCAACATCCATTTCTAAGAATATCATATTAAGCTGCTTTCATAAGTATAAAATTACATGCTGCCTGAATCATCAGGGCAGTGGTGATGGAGGCAGCAAGCACCACTGAAATATCAGTAAACTTCTACCAGACTAAGCAGCGCAATGACACAGAATACAACAATCTCCCAGCTCCTGTGTGTTGATTATTTACCAAGCCATGTCTTGTTTCATCTTCATTATTCATGGTTATATTATGATTGGCTGTGTATTAACTTTTATTTTGATGTTCTGCTGTTTCAGAAAACAATGTAATCATATGTACAGTTTGCCGAGTACACTGTCGTTCAAAGAATATAATTGAAAACCAGTTTCTGCTTGAAGTTGGTAGTGAGGCAGAGAGTGTGCAGAATGAACCGAAGACAAATGACCTAAAGTGTACAAGCTGTCAAGTTGAGAATGCTGTTGCTACCAGTTGGTGTGTTGATTGTGCAGAATACATTTGTGACGGTTGTGTTCAAGTAAGTTAGTAACGCATAGTGTTTTGTGACGAAGTACATATATTCTGTATTTTTTATATGTATCTCTGGAATGTACATTAAAATTTAAACATTAAATTAGATGGGGTATAAATATGCATCTTAATATCTTAGCATTTCTGTATGATGTTTATGTATTTTTAATAATTTGTTCATAATTCTTTTTAACCTAGTTTGTTCTTTGGACCACCTGAAAGAAACACACAGGCCACTGGTGGTCTGTGGACCATGCTTTGGGATTTTCAATTAGAGGATTTATCACACTTTCCCTTTACCTGCAAGGTCACACAATATGGACAAAATCCATGTTACATTATCAGGTTATGAGCTGTGACCCTGATAATGGCTTTGAAAGGTTTTGTAGCTTTAAGTGACAGTGACTGTAAAAACCGGATTTGACTTTATTTTGTTAATAATTAAGCTATCAATGTTAACAACAATTATTGTTGTTAACATTTGATAGCGTTTGTTCATACAGACCAGTCACTGTTGTCACATTATTTGAAAACCATCTATGCATTTGGGAAATAAAATCTTGAACTCCTTACTTTAATGTTTTAATTTGCGGTTTTTTAACTCAGTTAAAGTGTGAAATGTGGTCTTCTGGGTAGTAATGCCATGTAGTAGGTAGTTACCATTGTTTCTCTTCAAAATGTTGGTTTCTGCCTACAAGACTACACAATATCATCCAGAAGACCACAGTCCTCACCATTTTAATGTCTTTGTTCTTTCTCAAATAGGCACATCAAAGGCTTAAAATTACAAAGGAACATACAATAAAACCAAAAGAGGAGGCAGAACAAGAAAACCATGCTTCTGCAAGTAATAGTGTGCCCAAGAATCTTTATTGCTCCGTTCATCGGCAGGTAAACAAGAAATGCGTTTATTATATATTTGTTTCAGTTTTAAGGACTGATGGATGTGACATTTTTACTTCTGTTTGTATGTGTTTTTACCTTTTCTGTGTCCTGAGAAATAAGATGAACCCTGTAAGTGACATCTGACAATGTTTCTACAACCAAAACTGTTCTGAAATTGCAACTGTCAGCTTCAATATTTTTAGTTATATTTTCTGAGAAAGAAGTTGCTGGGGTTAATTCGGCATATTGTAAAAGTAATTTTGTTTTTCTGAATGCATAATTTGTAGTTGTTTCATCAAGTTCAGTTACAACTTTTATTGTTTTGCTATATTTCAGGAAAGTCTTTCCCTCTTTTGTGAAACCTGCGATAAGCTTACATGTCGGGACTGTCAGCTTACTGACCACCGTGACCATAAGTACAAATTTATCCATGAGATAGCAGAGGAAACAAAGAATATGATAAGTGGGCTTTTATCGGAAGTAAGGTAATTATTGAGTAGGATTTGTGGCTCTCACAACAGTGACTACAAATTTGGCAGTCTTCTGGGTGGTAGCACAGTGTAGTCTGGTACAAGTTTGTTAACGTTTCAGAGGTTTTTGTCGCCTCTATTGTGAGCGTGAATTGGTAAACTTCTACCAGACTACACAGTAATATAACCCAGAAGACAGCCTATTATTTTTTGATAATGTAGTTGATGCATGTTGTTAGTATTTGAAAGTGCAATGCTGAATATTTTGCTGGAAATTGGTATGGTGAAAATAGATACATAATTGATGTCAGTGACTATTAAATGAATAATATGATGCTTGATGCCAGCCAGCAGCCATTTTACTTACAGCCAGTCTGTTGTTATAGAACAAATCTGTAACTTTTTGAGGAATTTATTATTTTAATAATTAAAAATAAAATTGTTGAAAAGTGTTGATGTTACGAATATTAGTAACCAAACACTTCAGATAAAATTTTTGTATGGCAGCACACTTACTTTTTTCTCTGTAATGGACGTTGGGAAGTTGTGTTGAGTAAGTTGTAACTGATGTCTTGTAAAGTTTATTGATGCAACTGATCAAAATTAAGCTTATTATTTATTATAAATTCTGTTGTTCATTTTAAACAAAGAATTTGATTGTACTTTTGCACTGTTATTAATTTTTACAGGAAGGGAGCATAACATATGAGTATTTTCATTCTACTTTTCTAGTAATAGTTGGAAATTAGGGTCAAGCATTTCAGCATCTCTTCTCAACAGAAAATATGCTGATATGAAATCAGTACATGGCACATTGAATCTTAAAGTGCCAGATGAAGTAGAATGATTTTCTTCTTTACAGCTATAAACGAGTTCTCCTCACAAGTGCCATGAAGGTCATTGATGATCGACAGTCTCTTATTGTAGAAAAGAAGAAGGCACTGGAATGAAATTAAATTCATGTTTATGAAGTGAGTATGCTTGTACTTTTTTAGTGAAGTCTTATTTTTGTTATGGAAATTCTGTGTCAAGAAACAAATATGTTTCTGCATAATTTTAATTTCAGGTTGACTAATGCAATCAATACCAGAGGAAAGCAGCTGGTTCTCCAGCTCAATGAAGTCTGTGATGCCAAACAGAGAACTCTGAAAGAGAAGAAAGTTGCTTTAGAGCAGTTATCCAATCTTACTGATCATTGTATTGATTTCGTTAACAGTGCACTGAACAAAGGCAGTGACATGGCTTTACTTTACAGCAAAAGGTATATTGTAATTTGCTATATGTATAGATATATTTGTTAAGTTAAAAAAATACAACCTGTCATGGTGAGTGTGGTTGTGAGTAACCAGAAATATGGAATTTATATAGTAATTTGTTATAAATATGAAGATTACTATCTTCTGGGGTGTTGTACCATGTAGTCTGGTAGATACTGACATGTTTCAGAGGACCATCATCGTGCTAATGTCTCAGAAGACAACCATCTTCACACAAGTTGCCATGAGAATGTGAAATTTGATCTGTTTCATGGGTGTCTAAATTTTGTGTGATTGTTATACTGTAAAATCATAAAATCTGAACAAGTGGACCTTCAACTTTGTATTCAACATAATATTTCTTGCAACCTGAACTATTTGTTGAAGAAAGTTTCAGGTCAATAATAATAATTTTATAGAGTAAATTACAGATTAGTTATAATTGTTTTGAACCTACAAAGCCCAATTCTTCAAAGAGTAATAAATTTTGCCAGTTATAAGAGCTTTTAGTAATTATGTGTTTATTATTTTTATGTAGGACTGTTACACACCACCTTCAGAGGATCAAGAGTAGAAGAGCTGATATTCCAAATCCTGAAATACCAGTCAGAATTTCAGTAGCTATGGACAAATTGAACGATCTCATTAAAGGTAAAGTAAAGATGAGGGAATATATGTTGTTAAAAGAACAAGTAAAATAGTTTGAAGGGAAGGAGCCTGAAATGACAGTTATTGATGACAAGAATGTAGAAAATAGATTGCTTCACTTTGTCATGAAAACAGATACTGCTTCTTTATCTGTACTCGTGGCTAACTGGCCCACCATTGTTTTGTTCCTTGAAGTTGTACTTATGAAGTGTTATTGTATTAAATATTTGCGTATTCTTGTCTTTTATATGTAAATTTTTATTACATTTCAGTTGTGTCAAATATTGGTGGTATTGTTGTCGATGGCCGCGTATACACATCTCCTGGTGTTGCCATAGCCTCAGGTCACCCACCTCCACCATATCCTCATCATCAACAACAACAGCCTCAACAACAACAACAGCAGCAGCAGCAGCAGCAGCAACAACAACAACAACAGCAGCAGCAGCAGCAGCAGCAACGCAGTTCTCACTCTCATCCCCACCATTCTGGGGCACAAATTCCTGGTCTTGTCCTGCAGCAGGGACAAGGAACTCCCTCCTTACAGCCAAACAGGGTATCGCCACATCTTCAGCAACAACCAAACAGCCGGGCTTCTCCGCACCAACAGTCACCTCACCAGCAGTCCACTCATCAGCCACAACAACAGCACCAGTTGCAGACGCCTTCTGCCAGCTGTTTGGTCGGTGTTCAGGTATCCCGTAACTTGAATATACTCCGGCATGGAAATCCTGGTTCTGTGCAGCAACAGCAACCACAGCAGGTGAGCTCTTGATAGATATGCTTGTTTGTCTCGAGAACAGGCGATTCCTAATACTTGTCCTGTACAATTTCATTTGCAATGCTAGTAAGGAATGGGTTGGTCACTGTATCATTATTGGTGAACGTAAATGTTGACACATTTGCCTTTATGTTCCATAAGATAGGATAATTTCTTGAGCTGCTGAAGGAGAACCTTGTGTCATGGAAGAAAACCGTGTATTAAAACAAAATTATGTATAATACTATTTCCCATATGTGTTACTTCAGAATGTCAGTTCATTTCATTGCACATGGAAGTAATCACAGGAAGAAAGATGT